ATATTATTTTGGATAGATGAATTCAATTTATATCAAGATTTTAGAGAATTCTTTTTAAGATTATGAAGGTAGATATAAAACTATCTTTGGCTTTTCATCTTCAATTGATAGATAAACGGAGTATATAAATCAAGTTTTAGAACAATATTTGAGATGTACCATCAACTATCATTATAATGATTGAAAAACTCTTTTGTAATTGGCAAATTTTGCTTCTAATAAGATGGTACATTCTTTTATCCACCAATCACCTTTCTTTGCTAATTATGATTACTATCTATAACTTGATGCTTTTAACTTTTTAAAAGTTAATAATCCTATACTAAAAGATTTAAAAAATTGTTTATCTCAGCTATATACAACAATAAAGGTACAATTAAAAGAAGCTGAAGAATGACAAAAGTTCAATGCAAATGTCTATTGCAAGGAACAACATCAATTTCATGTTGATAATAAAATATAATTACTTTATTTTAATACTAAGACTAGCTACCTTTGTAATAAGTTGGATTATTATAGATTTAAATTATTTTCTATTGATAAACTAATCAATTTGATTACTTATTAATTACATCTATTAAAATCCATCAAGATCTATTTCATATTTCACATATTTTTTTTTAGCCATATAAGACAATGAATATCTTAAAAAGAAGACAAATGCTATCGCCTCCTATAAAAATACATAATAATCAAGGATTTGAGATAGAAAAAGTCTTATATTCAAAGAAGTGTTGAAATAAGTTGAAATATTTTGTTCATTGCTACAGATACGATATTAGTGAATACACACAAAAATCAACTAAAAATCTACAAATTCAGCAAAGAAATTTGATATTATTCGTTGACAAGATCCATCAAAATCAAGATAAAAAATAATAAATCTTTTTTATAAAAGAAATGTAGTTGAAAAAAGATTGTATTCTATATTTTTATTATTGTTTGTAGTTTTTATATATTTGTGGCACTAAAGAGATAGAAATCAATAATCAACAAATTTAATTTAAGAACTATAATTTATTAAGTTACCAATTGAGACATTACAATTGTCACAACCTTCAAGATAATGCAATAGAGATGAAGATCCTCAAGAATATTATGTTTTTTCTTGAATAGATTGTAAAATATACCATGTGTGGTATCACAACCTTGGAAGAAACTTTCAATATTTGATGATATTATTAGAAATAGGAACCATTCTTGATGATATTTCAAATGCTTTATTTGAAGAAAATTACGAAGGCCTCAACAATGATCAAATATCAAGGTGCATCTTATTATATGACATTATCAATGGTTATAAAGGACTTATTGACCACCTTCAAAAGGAACAAAGATTAAATTATGTAACAAACACAATTACCTGTATCTTAAACTTCCTTAATATATAATTGTTGATTCTTGTGGAACTCGTCTTTAAAATGAAGGATAATATCACAAACATATATATTCATTTATATAAAAAAATTAGGTAAAAAATAAATATAAATAAATGAAATATTATCTTATGAAAAAACTTCTTAAAAGCTTCATAGATGTAGATTTGAATTTACACATGTTTATAATTGATTGGTAGGTTAGAAGCTTTGCCAACAACTTAGCCATGTGTCATATGTATTAGTAGCTTGTTGTACACATATAAGAAACTTGTTTTGCAAGTTTAACATATGTCTTGCAAACTAAACATATGTTAAAGGTTCTATAGAACATCACCATATAATTCCAACTTAGATAGTAAATATAAAGGCAAGAGTGAAGCCTTTTTAATTCACTCTTAGTCTTGTTTCAAGACTTTCTTGTCTTCTTGTCTTTTGCAATAATTATTCTAATTTTAATAATATATTAGTTTTGAATAAAATATCTATTATTTTTGAATAATATAAGAATATACTAAATTTTTATTTATTTGAGATTCATATCTTTGACAAGATTTAATTAATAATTATATTGAAATTTTGAATAATCCAAATAATATCAAATTTTCTTTGACATATTTTAAAATAAAAAATTTTATTATATAAATAATAAATATTTTATTTCTTTTTAGATCTAAAAGAAGCATCAAATCTATCATATTGTTTTTAAATGTAAGAAAAATATAATAAAGACAACTATGAAGTATTAAGAAAAATGGTCTTTAAATATATGAAAAATAAAAAAGTAGTTTTTTACCAAGCTTATGATATAGAGAATCCAGGAGTAGGAAAAAAAAAAAAAAAAAAAAAAAAAAAAAAAACCATTTATATTAGTGATGCAAATAAAAGACATGCTTAAAAGAACAAAAGATATTATGTCAAATTTAGCAAGGATTTTAATTGAATTAAGACCAACCAATTGAATATTCCATTATGTATGGGAATGTATCTAATGTAGTTATATTGAAGATGTCAATTTTTTAAATGTTCTATATTGTTGACAAGAATAGTAATTAAGAATAAATAATATTATATTTCATAATAGGTATTGTGTTTCAAAACATAGATATAATTTGACCTAATGCAATAGTAATTGATAAAAATAATACAAAATATAAGGCTTTAATAAAAGTAATTCCAAAAGATTATTTGTGTTGAAAAAATAAAATTAAAATTGATAGAATTTAAATAAAGAGTTATATACTTTTGTATTAATTCCATACAAAAAATGCATGGATAAAGCATTTACTATCTATATTCTCTAAAAATAAGTATTTTAAATTATATAAGCTAATATGTTCTAAGTTCAAAGCTAATGCTAAGAAAAAAATTGATACTAAATAAAAAAAATTCAAGACTATATATGCCAAAAACCAAAGGGTATTCAAATATATAGAGAATGGTTGGACATGACACAACAATCAATGAAATCTTATATGGCCAAATTGACCAAAGATGTATTGCCACAAATATACCAATACAACTAATCTTATAGAATACATGTGGAAATACATAAAGCATATCCTTCTAAATGAAAAGATGAATTAATAATTTGATGAATTTATTATTGCATTGATACATAACATTGTTTTGGAAGAATCACTTTGGTGCAATACTACAACAATGCCTATACATTGAATGAATGAAAGAAGTATTTTTTAAGAAGTAGTAACAAACAACAAACAACAAGGTTACAAAGGACCAAGTAATTAGTTGAGCATTACAAATGAGATAGATTGTCAAATTTAAAATTTTTTAATTCAAGATGCAAAGAATTTATTTTTTGAAGCTAAGATATTCCAATAAAATGTTATATTATCAGCTTATCTTATAATTGGTGCAAATACAATAATTATAATCTTTTATATAAATACATTAAGACTATGAGATGGATTATTTAAGAAGAATATTCAAATTTTTTAGATTTATTACCAAGCACATATGAAGATAATGATTTTATCAACTAAAAAGAAAATAGTATTGATGATGGCTCAAATGATGGTTTAAGCAATATAATCAATTTTGGCACTTTTAGGATGTATAAATGATTTATTATCCAAATCCTTACAAATTCCTATGCTAAGAGAAGGTAGTAATATCACCCTTATACAAACTCATGTTACAATTAGAAGACTTGAATTTTGAAGCCATAAGAAGGAAAAAAAAAAAAAAAAATGATAATGAAAACGCATATGGTAGAAAGAATCTAGTAGTGCCAAGACCTAGTGGACTTAAAGTTCTTTGTTGCAGATAAGAAGTTGTTCAATAGAAACTTAAACAAGTGATATTACCTAAGTTGTGCAAAGAAGCATATTCAAAGTGTAGAGATCTAAATATATTCTTTATTAGAGTCACCAAAAGTAAATGCAAAAATTGCCAATATATAATTATAAAAAAAGATAATAGTGTTGTAAAAATTAATGAAGGATGCAATGTTGACCAAGATGTAGAATTGATTTATAAAGATTTAGATTTTTAATAAGAATGTGGATGCAAAATTTGGCATTATATATAAGAATTTGATTTGATGATATTTCAGATCTAATATTTATTATTATAAATAATAAAGTCTCGTTTTAGTGGTGGTTCCTACAACCACATTATTATGGTTATTACGCTTGTTTTAATTGTAAAATTATGTAGATACATAATACTTGTAAGAAAATAAATCTATATAATATACTATACAAAATAATATTTTAAAGAGAAACTTAATTAAATTATTTTTCTTCATTATTTCTATTAAAATATAATAATTATTTTTTACAATATTTTGAATAGAGTATATGAAAATTAAACATTTATTATAAAATTGAAATATTCAATGATAAATACTTGTTTATAAAATATCTGTGTTTGAAAAAATAAGATAATGATTTTTTTTTTTTTTGAGTTGCGAAGATTCTTCTTGAGAACAAAAGTATTATGTAGATTGAGTGCTATTGTATGTGACAACAAAAAACTATTCTGTGAAGCAAGAGTGATGGTTGAAAATTGGAATTGAGAGGCAGCCCCTGAATAAACTTCAGCACCCATGTGAATGTGGATCAGTGTGGGCCCAATGAAGGGGTAGAATATGGATCAGTGCGGGCCCAATCATGAATGGGTTCTGAGTTTCCATCCTGCCCGCCCCCTGGTTCCCCTACGTTCCCTCCCTCCGTTCCTAGAACTACGATCAGCGGTTGGGATTGAATATGAGCGGCAGCTACGATCCGACGGCCCACTATGTCGATTGAGTTGGGAGGTTTCTGCGACACAATTCTAAGAGGACCGCGAGCGGCACCTACCCCAATAACCAAAAAAGGGAAAGGCCTAAAAGTATAAAGATGGAGCCACATTCGAAAACGGCTAAGTAAGTTCTGGACGTGATAAATAAAAATCAACGTCAAAGGGATCAGGCTGACTGAAAAGTAGAAAGTTTTTTTCTGCTGCTTTCCGATCTTTTCCCACCACATCGTCATCCTCCACGAGGCAGGCGCGTGGTGGAACCCAAATATGGGCATTCAGAAAAAATCCGCAGCCAAACACGACAGCTCAGCATTGGCCACCTGTAGTCGACAAACGTCCCTTGTCTCACCCATTCTTCGGTACGGTCCAGGCGCCCCCAACCCTTTCGTCGAATTCTGCTGTTGTGTGGAGACGAGGAGGGGATCATTAGATCTGTGTGCTCATTCCCCACACTGCACCTTTCTTGAGCCGCCGCTTGCTTGTTCCATAGAATTCCGCTGGCTAGACGCTAGTGTATTTTGCGAGGATTGTTTGTGAGGCTGGTTGCGAACCAGTTCGCTGAGAGACTGCCGACAGTGTGAGGTTTTAGTACCATGGTGATGGCGCGCGCAGTGGTGGCGGGGTCCGTTAACACATCGGCTGGGGCCGTGCTGGCCACAAGGAGTGGTGACCAGGGGAGTTTGAGCGCTAGCTGTAAGAGTGTGGTGGTGCGAAGCAGGAGTCTAGTGTCGCAGAGTAGAGTAGTCGCTGTGAGAGCCTCTGGTCAGGAGTTCGCGACGAAGACATTATCGGGAGTGGTGTTTGAGCCCTTCAGTGAGGTGCAGGATCAGCTTGTGAAAGTTACTACATCGCCGCAGTTGGAGTCGTTGGCTCGCCAGCGGTTCGCCCCTTCTTGTGAGGCTGCCATCAATGACCAGATCAAGTATAGCTTCGTTCTGCATCGTTTTTTTGTCTGTTTCTATTTTTATTTTTATTTGTATCTTGTTTGTCATTATATCTTACCGAGGTTTTAAGGTGTACTAAAATTGAGAAGTGTCAAGGGCGCTTCGATGCTGCTTTTTATTTCGAGAGGTCTTGGTGACCAGGAATAGTAGAGTGAAACCGTAGTCGTCTTTAAATGTTTGTTCTACGTGTCATCAGACGTTTTCTTGTTTCTTCGAAACTCTAAAACCGATATTGCATCACGCTGTCTCACGTGCTGATATGCTTCTCAGTCGCTGTAACCTGTGTCGTCCTATTCTTTTATCGCTTTGCAGTGTGGAATACAACGTTTCATACGTCTACCATGCTCTTTATGCCTACTTCGATCGTGACAATGTAGGACTTCCAGGCTTTGCGCAGTAAGTTCACAATTTTATTTACAGTCTTTGTGTTTGTCCTTGTGACTTTCTTTATTAGATGATTGGAACTAGATATCTGAGTAACTTGTGGATTCTGAAACCTGTTGCAGGTATTTCAAACATGCGAGTGACGAAGAACGTGAACATGCTGAGAAATTGATGAGATACCAGGTTCGTTTTGTCTCCCGCCTTTCTTTTTAGCTCTTTGTATTATTTTCCTGGTAATTGACGGTTGACTGATTGGATTTACTCGATCTTTTGCATTTTGGGTTCATGTGCTACCCAGAACCAACGCGGAGGAAAAGTCAAGTTGCAATCAATTGTCATGCCTTTGATGGAGTTTGACCATCATGAGAAGGGAGATGCTCTTTATGGTCAGTAACTTTTCGGATTGACGCGCTTATTTGTGATCTTTACACGTCCCAGACTACTTGCTTCGTGTTTTGGTGTCTGTATGTAACTACAATGTGCTGGTGACCTGCTCAGCTATGGAGTTAGCACTTGCGCTGGAGAAATTAACGAACGAGAAGCTTTTTCAGTTGCATCAGGTAAAATTTTAGTTTAGATTCTTGGATGCAGGTTCTCTTTTTTATATTCACACTCGAGCTTTATCGTAAAGCTATGGTAATTCCGTTATTTTAATAGAGTCAGCCATGATTATTATGCTTTACTAAACGATTATTAACAACGTCAGTATCCGTGACTTTGCCAGGCTGCCGCTGATGCCAATGATCATCAAATGACCGAGTTTATTGAAAGAGAGTTCCTCACAGAGCAGGTACTTTCACACTCTTAAACCTTCAGAGTGTTGCGTGTTGCATCTCCGTTGAAATGACATCTTAAAAAATTTGCCTCTTTATCAATCTATTCGCTTTTCTAAGTAGTCGAATGTTGGTGATTGAAGGTCGAAGCAATTAAGAAGGTGTCAGAATATGTCTCTCAGCTACGAAGAGTTGGGCAAGGACACGGTAAACTTCTTACTTTTGCTCAAGGATAAGTTTGTATACTGTTCTACTGTGGCTGATTGGGCAATAACAATGGAATTATTCAAATTCTTGAAATTCCCTAATTTTATGTCGAATGTAATGCTAGCAATTGAATCTGGAAGCGTTTTCAGTCATTGTTAATATAATGCTTCACATAACCTTAAACTGGTCATTATTATAATCCTTTTGACCATGAATGTTAGCAGTAATCTATACAACATATTTGCTGGGCAGAACACATGTATCAGGTGTAACCATGGCATTACGTACAACGGATTTGATAGTGTTCCTTGTATGATCTGACCAATTCCCGCATTAGGCACCGTTCGTTGGCACCCCGATGCAGTGAGCGTGGCGAGAAGGGGCCGCTACCTTGTGCTTCATCGTGTGTTATTAATAGTTCATCATGATATTTCTGCCAATGTTTTAATTTTTGTTGTGCAAGTGTGAGATCTGACAGCCTTTGGTCTGGCCTTGCTTATTACAGGTGTTTACCACTTCGATTTACAACTTCAGGAAGCATAACAGCCTGCTGTAGTGGCTTAAAAACTAGTCCTGTTAATAGTACTTTTGGTGGTTATAGTGATAGTGGAATCAAATATAAGGACTGTGCCTTACGTTTTGGGATTAGAGGGCGTGCCTTCAGTTTCTTTTCGCCTTGGTGCTAAATTTGAATGAGGATCTAAAATTTTGCGCTCAAGTTTTTCCGAGGTTAGGTGAATCCAAGAGCTTTTGTATTGGCGCGCACTGATGTTACAATATATTCAAGTGGGCTTGAAGCCCAGATTGCGGTTCTATAGTCAAATATAATCTAAATTATAGGACATGGATTAACAGAGGAGCGATCTGGTTAGAAAACGTCGGTATGAATGAAATTGACGTATGAATGTTATTTATTAGTTTGAATTATGTCTTGCGCGTAGTTTTTGCTATGTGTGGGGATGAACTCGTTTTTTAGCTAGTTCTAAGCTGGATGAATGTTATTTCAGGATCCAATTGGTTATGTGAGTATACATACCGCGGTAGAAAAGTGCTGAGATCTTGGGATTGGATCCTTCGATGCAATCATCACGCGTAAGTCGTCATTGTGACCAATAAAAAGGTTGTATTTGCTGAGGATTCATACAAGTTAAAAACCATGATAATGAATTAAGCCTGGGCAGGTACATTGTCTCATGTGAATAACGTCGAAACACCTTAAACCATCAGCTATCTCCGGGGAGTTAAATTTCGGGAAAAAAGTTGTGTTGGATGGAGAAATAAGGTTTTGATGTGCTCCAGAAGGAAAAAATTGAATCGTCGCAGTGGTTGAATTGATAAAAATGTCGACTTTAGCAAAACTGTGTGTTGAGGAACCAAAACTGGGGTCATGAGGCCGCCATTTCTGCAACCACATGGGTGGAATTCCGCGCACTATGCGGGCACTGATCCACTCGCACGTTGGACAGAAGCCAGCGCCCAGGTGTGACCAGAAACCACGGAAAGGAGAGGCAGATACTGTGTATTTAAACCGTGCCTGGCTTCCTCGTGAGCCGCAGGTATTTTTTGTTCCAAAATATTGTAGAATAGGACAAGTACCGATTCCTTGATACGTCACTCACAAATTTCACGTTCCTTCAATTTCAACAACGGAAAAATTTGGATGTCAAAATTATGACCTAAAGTTAGACATCCTTGCTGGAAAAAAACAAGGCATGAATGCGAGTAGCACCAATTACAAAAGTTTTAGGAAGACTTTTGAAAGAAGCCCATTAACCTTGCATGGAAAAATTTCGGTGTTTTATTTTACTTTATTTAAACATCTGCAGAAAAGAAGTTCTCTAGAGAAAGGATTGATGTGAAAATTGGGAGCCGAGTTTTGGGTATTACTGAAGAATCCATTTCCTTTAAGTCGAAAGCAACCGGCAAGCTCATGGAGATCCCTTATGGCATGATTGTTTGGTCAACAGGTACTACTAGTGTTTGAGATTGGTTTCGAGTTAATAATCTAGTTGACCTGGGTTCATATCATTCTGGAAAAAGGCATACTAGTCAAGCTTTAATGCTGTTATATGTTCTGCCTCTTTCCATCATAGGTGAGAATTGTTGGGGTCCGGTGGAGAATAGCTCTTGTAAACACTGAATTGGATAATCCTGGAGGCCAGTGTTAGAAATTGTGGTGTTTGAACGATTCCTGTCCATTGCGATGTCAGTGAACCGCACACATGTCCTCGTGAATCTGCTCAGATCAGATTCGTGGTCCTGCACCCTCCCAGTGGCACTCCGCGGTGAAAGGGCCTGGTCGCGCGGTTTCTCCTCAAGGCTTGTTGGTGGTTCAGGGGTGGGTAACGGTTTAAGGTGTTTCGACGTTAAGCAGTCTCATGTCAAAGACTGAACCACCCTCTTCAAAGGAGAAGAGTGTATCGAAGGAGGAAGATCAGCTTTAGCAGTAAAGAACATTTTTGCACGTTATCATGGTCCACATTTGTTACTTATTACATGTTTTAGAATATGTTGTTGTTTTGCAAGTCGTTTAATGGATTTCATTTTATTTAATTTCTTTTGCTACTGTAATACCATGTCCACCAAGGCTTAGGCGCTTTAAAAATAACTTCCAAATTACAATAAAAGTCTTTCATCAAATCTCTCTCTCTCTCTCTCTCTCTCTCTCTCTCTCTCTCTATATATATATATATATATATATATTAGTCAATTTAAAAATTTAATTCAAATTGGATGCATTGATATGACTACAGTGTGAGCATACAATACATTGGTATGCTCACAAGATAATGTAACAATTTGGCAAATAATAACTTTTATTTCTAAAATCTTATATTATTTATTCTTTGATGTGCATATAAACATAATTATATATATATATATATATATATATATATATATCCAGATCAATTTAGTTTCGGTATTGACTAAAATCAAATAAACTTCCATTTTGAATTTATTTGTGGTTCTATTAACTTTAATGTGTATGTATAAATTCTTTTCACATAATATAAAAATATAGTAATAATTTTCGGTGTTTTATTTTACTTTATTTTATCACTTTGGCTGTTATGCTATTTATATTGAAAATATTTAAGGATAAATTCATGGTTGACTTAACCATTTTGAAAATTACAATTAATGGTTTAGTATTAATAAAATATTATTTTCATGATATTTTTGAAAATCTAAAAAGACTCAATTCATGATGTTACTGAATATACGAAATCAATTATATACATCAAATATTTTGACTATATTCTAAAATTTAAAAAGAAATTTATCAAATATTTGAAGACAGTGCACATTTTAACCAAATCAAATCTTCTAACAACCATTAAAAAAACAAACCCACATAATTATGATTCCTTCCAATAATTGGGTCTATTATCGTCCCACTTCTGCATCCATTAGAACTCACACAAGTTCCAGCCCGGGTTTTCGTTCCAATAATTATTTGTCAAAGATCGAAGGGGCAGGCGAGTATAATACACAGTACTCTAAAGTGTATAGAGATACGGAATACGTAAGGGAAAGTAGAAAAGTGACTATTTATCATATGCACGAAGCCCCAACTCACTAGAAGGGGCGGAGGAGGGAGGGAGAATAAGCAGTTATTTATTTATTTGTTCGGGAGAGAGGCTGCTGTTGCTGCTCTGAAGATCTCGGCGCTACCCGAAGGCCTTGTGTCGCCATAGCCGGGTTCTTCGCGAGCTATGGCCTATCCCACAGCCTTTCCCGAATTCCAATCTCTTCTCCACCTCCACTTCTACCGAAGCATGGCGTGCACGCTCCTCTGAAGGAAGCCATCCCATTCGACTTGCTTGACTGCTTTGTCTCGCGTCGTCAGCAAGGTTAGGAGCATTCCTCTCGCCATTCTACAGTCTGAGCAACCAAGGCAATGTTTCCGCTGCATTTCGAGCTGGATCCGTGTTTCTAGCTTCGGCACTAGTCCAGTGCTGTTTTAGTCGTTGTTTCTTTTTGTGGTGGTCGACCAGGCGCGAATCGTGATTCATCGCTCCTGAGAGTGTCCGGCGCTTAATTTTCTGCCGGTTGAAATGTTTCACATTTGCCTCGTATTGTGAGGTGGAAGTGGAAATATGCCTTTGGTGGATTGGTTAGTGGAAGGTTCGAATGTAGTGGAGCTGCGAGTGTGCGGCGGTGAAGCGACAGGATTTTGATTTTTGGTTTTTTTGGTTTTTTGGTTTTGGTTTTGGTTTTGTTTTGTTTTGTTTTGTGGTTTTTTTTTTTTTTTTTTTTTTTTTTGTGTTTTTCTATAGCAAATGTGATTCTGATTCTTGTTCTGGTTTATCTCGTTGTTGTCCGTAATCCCGTGTATCATGTTCTTATATTCTTGCAGGAGATACTGGTACAGGTAGTTTCTCTACTCATTGCGTAATTCGTAAATGGAGCGGATTTACAGAATTCACGGGAGTTGTGACTGGTTTTTAACAATTGTGTACACGAGGTTCTTATGTACTAGTATTCTAGAATCAAAGAGGGATATTCATCTGGCTGGTAGCAAGAATATTGTCTCTCTATGCCTTCGAAGCTTTCGTGGTTCTCTCTTCTTCTCCGCCTCTCTTGAACCGGTCTTTCTCCCGAAGAATAGAAACGTGCAATTCATGAACATCTCTAAGGTTTTTTCCTGAAAGAATGCTGTTTCGTAAACTCTCGAATCCTTTAGGGGCAGAGGATGGATGTGCGAGATCTTCTTTAGTGGTTTTTTTAAAACCAAAAATAATTGTTGTGGAGCGTAAAGGCCGACGTTTGAGCCGCAGTGTTGGAAGGAGTGGAAAGAGGGTGAGAAGTATGGGGAGGAATCGAGGAGCGCACATTGGGCAAGCATTGCGAGCACTGCACACTCGCAAGGGCACCATAAAATGCGAGGACAGGGTCCAATCCCTCTCTCATTTTGCGCAACGAGTTGTAACTCTTGCAGCTGGACTCTCCGAAGGTGGGGGTCTTCAGCCCGGAGATCGCGTCGCGATAGCTTCCCTCAACAGGTCAACCTTCTTGACTGCCCTGAAAATGCCATTAAAACATACTTGAATATTACTGCAACTCTGCACAAAGAAATTCGTGGTGTCCAAAGGAAGTCACTGTTGCACGAAAATTCAGTTCAGAGAATATTAAGGTTTAGGAAGTGGCTGAAAATTTTGGACATAGTTTAGGAACTGTGGTGTTCTTCAGTAATTATTCCTTTCATGTTCTAAAGGTTCGAATTGCCGTTTCACATGTCCTGCAAAGGTTTAGTATGTTCTGTTAGCTAGAAAGACTAGCTAGCTTTAGAAACCTTCTGCGGGCTAGGTCAAACACTCATCGAGGCTTCTGGTTCCAGTGAATGGTATTTGGAGTGGTTCTTTGCGGTGACTTGCGCTGGTGGAATTGTTGCCCCGCTTAACTACAGATGGGTATGTAATGATATCGTACTTCCTACAATTGTGCTTCATACTCTTGAACATGTTTAGTGTCGATCTAGTCAATTTGCAAGTCATGCTGGTCGTTGCATTTCAAGCCATGTACACAATTTGCTAAGGTTGGTCCCTGTAGTCACTTTATGAGGCGTGTATGATACACTTCTCGGATGATTTTTTTATATTGGAAATCCTGTTAACGAGTGTATGAGACAAAGAGCACCCGCAATTTCTGTCCCTGAAGCTGAAAGTACCTGTCACTTCATATTCAGTCTAGTTCGTGTTTCAACTAAGCTTTTTCATTCCGATTGCAGAGTGTCGAAGAGGCTAGTGAAGCAGTTAAGCAAATTGGGGCCACAATGTTGGTGCTTGATCAGACCTGTTTACAGCAGTGGCCTGATCTTCACACCAGGTGCCGGTTGCTTCGCTTGCAGATTCTTCTTGGTCCAGGATTGAACTGTTCTTCCTGTGAGTAAAGGTTCACCCTGTTGGTTAGCTTGATGTGCAAATGGTTTTGATTAACGGAGATATGATTTTGTGATATGCTGCTCGTGGTAAATCCCTCCTTTAATTTGTTTAACAACTGTCAGTTAATATCACTTGGATAAACTAACCTGGAGCTTAAGAACATCGCCTCTTTCTATGCACAACTCATCCGCTGATGATCAGACTTTAAACAGCCTTTGGATGGTCCTTCGAAAAATTTTCTGATGTAAACTTGAATTGAAAAAATGGAGGAAATAATGCATCATGTCCATATGTATAAATGGAAGGAACAGTGCATCATATTTTTTGCAGGCAATTACATGACCCAGCATGTGGTAAACTATGTTCTAGGGTGAACAAAAGGCAGTACGATGAATTTTTTTTATAAGGGATATAATAAGAATTGATTTAGAGGATGACCTCAATGTTTGTTGACATGAAGCTTCTGTTTATTCTGCTCCCAGTTTTCTGACAGTACAAGGCACTTAGTTGAACGTTCATCTTGCTGGATTTAAAACTAGTGATGTCTTGCCACGCTTTGTTCTGCTAAGGACTTAACTTTGATAAGTTTGTGCAGCTCTGGTTAATCCAGATGAGGTGCTGACATGGGCTGGTTCAAAGCAAGAACTTGACCTGAAATGGGCGCCAGATTCCATCGCCCTTATTTGTTTCACATCAGGTTCATATGTAAATCTTGACACACCATTAGAATTTTGCTTACTTTTATAAATTTTCTTTATAACTGCATCTTTTATTGCTAATTTTATTGCTGAAGTTCCTGCTCTGCAAAACAATGATGTCCGTGCATGCTTGATGAAATTGTGTAATTCCATCGTGTACAGGTTGCTTGTTAGATTTCGTCATGTTCTGCTGCGATCACGGTAGATATGTCTTTTGCAAGAGGTTTTAGTTTAGACGTTAACGTTAATCCTGCCTTGTCTTCCCAGGAACCACAGGAAGTCCGAAAGGAGTTGCGATTAGTCATAATGCACTGGTGGTGCAGTCTCTAGCGAAAATAGCAGTGATTGGCTACAATTCTTCTGATGTAAGGCCATCTCTTCTCGTACATTTTCTATATCATTGTTGGCACCCATGTAATGTTTTTTTTAGTGTAAGCAGTTTCAAACACAGGAAGTTTTAATGAAGTCAACTCATACGCAGGTTTTCTGGTCTTGCATTTTTGGAGATTTGAATGGCAGATTTGTGAAGACCACGTCATATATTCTCACCCTTGCTTTTGTAGGTTTATCTGCACATTTCACCACTATGCCATATTGGTGGGATTTCATCAGCCTTGGCTAATGTAATGGTAGGAGCCTCTCATGTCATATTGCCCAAGTTCCATGCAGCAGCTGTATTTGATGCCATCCGAAATCATGATGTCACCTCCATGATAATTGTCCCAGCTATGCTTGCAGACTTGGTAGCAACTTCTGCATCTTCAATAGGGTATTTCTCATTCCACTCAATCATGGCATCATTTTAAGCTTTCAATTGCTACCAAGACTTGGCTATGTTTTAGGACATGCACAATAGTTGTCAACTTCTGGTGGATTTTTGGAGATCTTTCAGTGGTAGAGATTGCTATCAATTTCTATTTTTTGGGCAGAAATAACACATTATTTTTATTCTTTCTTAGCAATCTTAATTTCTTCTTCATCCAGTAAATGTACTTGACGGTTATTGTTCTTTGAATTCCCTAGTTGATTATGAGAAAGAGTGAATGCGGCAAGACCTTGATTGTGAGTCTTGGTTCAGAGCATTCAGCAGTCGGCATTCATTTACAAGCATACGGACATTGTTAAACGGAGCTGGTGGAATACCTGCACTGCTCTTGGATTCAACCCGATTACTCTTTCCGAACGCTGAATTGTTTTCAGCATACGGTTCGATTTCTATCATGAATATTAATGGAAAAGACTTTTTTTCTTTTCGTTGTCATCCATCATGCTTAATCATGTGATTTTCAAAGGTTATCTTACACGATTCTGTAGAGCTACTTTGGGTTTAATCTGATCAATTTGATTTAATCGTCTTTTCTAATAGTTGGATAATAGTAGTCTTTGTGATGTTATGCTGAGGTCTCTGGTTGATCATGCATACATTTTGATCCCCTTTCGTTCTGATAATTTCTTGTCTCACTTTGGCTGAATAGGTATGACTGAAGCTTGTTCAAGTATGTCCTTCATACCAGTAGATGAGCAAGATTCAACTGGGCAACTTGGTGGTGTCTGTGTTGGAAAGGCAGCTCCCCACGTCGAATTGAGGATTGGTCAGCCGGTCACGGAACAAAAGTCAATTGATTCACATGAAAACAGTAGTCCAGAAAGTGTACTGTTTAGAGAAGGGCAGGTTTTCACTCGAGGGCCTCATGTCATGGAGTACTATTGGGGACTTCCATCAGAGACCGCAAATGTGTTAAGTGCAGATGGGTGGTTGGCCACTGGCGATGTTGGATGGATGGACGAAGCTGGAAGGCTTTGGCTCCTTGGCCGTTCCAAAGATGTCATCAAAAGCGGTGGTGAAAATGTTTATGCTTCTGAGGTCGTTATCGTAAATGCACTTACTGCAGCCAATGGAGATGTCCGGTGTCATCTTAACGTCATGTCTGGAAGTATAGACAATATCGCTATGATTGTTGTTTCCACTACAATGTAGCCATAAGAATGATTGTTATGTTGTAGTTTACACTTTTTAGAGTGTGGCAATTTCTTGTTCATGATCCTTCTTAACATAAGTTGTCTTGCGAATACAGGTAGAGAATGTCTTGATGAAGCATCCAGGAATGTTGTCTGTGGCAGTTGTGGGTATTCCTGACGAGAGATTAACAGAGATGGTAGTTGCTTTTGTGCGCCTTCGAGACAAATGGATTTGGGAAGACAAATATCAAGGGAAACTAAGTGTTACAGGAGCTTCGAATCAAATTCAGCTGGAAGACTACCGAGGCAACCGAGTCGTATCTCAGATTGAGCTTCGCATCCACTGTCAACAACTTGGCCTTTCAAGGTCCAGAATTGGATCATTACCTCCTCTTACTACTTGTGTTGTTGGAAGGATATGCTTGCTTCAGAAGATCATATCGTGTGTGTCTAGTGCTGCCTTTTGATCAGTCATAGAGAATTGGATGATATTGATATCCAGCGAAACTTTTGTCGGTACTATTGACAGGATTCCACCAAAGCTAATTATTGAATTTCCTTTGTGCAGATATAAGGTTCCAAGACTCATTCTTGTGAACAAAGAACCATTCCCAACAACTTCCACTGGCAAGATTAAAAAGAATTTGGTTCGTCGCATGGCCCTAGAACGACTAGCTAAAAACCGATCACGTATGGAAGCTGGCGATATTAAATCGTGGACAGGAGCTGAACCTTTAGAACAAAGTCCCTCAACTCGGAGCCGGTTGTGAATGTTTATTGAGCTCGACTTCACCTACTTTACTTTGTTCTGCTAACATTTTCAACTATCATTGGGTAGGCGTAGGTTTGCTTTAAAAGGTTTGAATAGTATTGTACTCTTGTTTCATTGTCGTCACTCTACAGTGATGATTGCTCAAAAACATTTGCGAGCACCTTGAGTACCAGCAACGTAGAGGTCAGAAAATTTTGTATTAAATTCAATTTTGAGAGTCACCACTTGCATCTTGCTCTGATGTAGAATTTTTCTACAACGTGATAACATCTTCAACTGAAATTGAAACAGGCATTAAGTAGGGAGTTTTGAAAATGTATGGTGACCTTAAATGTTAAACAGGTCCTGCTTCGAACTGAGCGGATCAGTGTAAGGAGACCGAATTGTTCATCCTCCGGTCATTTGGCGCAGGAATGCTTGGAATTCATGGTAGAGGAATCTCATAGCTTGGCCATACCGGGTATTTCATACTTTCTCGGAACTATAACCTTCAGGGGCCTTCGATGCATTCTTGATTGAAATGAACGTTGATTACTGTGCTGATCCTGTTGGCCAGACAACTGGTCCATTCACAGCCCTGCTTTAGATGTGAGTGTTGAAAACTGACCTTGTGATCACTTGTCCTGTCCTTCGATCCTCGCAGGTTGCCCCGCCACTAACCCCATTATCGTGAAGAAAAATCTGGTTCATGCATTCTCACTCTTGATGGATTCAGGTGGTTGTAGTTCTTCAATGGTTATATGACGTCCCAATCGGACAGCTGGTTCATCCTTCTGGATCCTCATCCTCTGTATCTCGATCCATTTCTCGACATGGTACCGGCACTTCAAATCACAACTTATGTCCAGAAGGGAACAGTGCCGTGTGGAGTCCTCGCTGAAACAAATTACTCCATCTTGCACGCTTTGTTCTGCCACAATCGACTTTTGCATCGCAACCTGAGAACCCGGAGGACTCATCGGCCGTGTCCGGATGTATGCTATCATACCTCGTGAGCTTCAAATGGTGTTCGCTATTGGAATAATCTTCCATGGCTATTATGGCACACTACTAATTGAGACTTTCTAGAGCACTCAACTTCAATTTGTGCCTATTGTTCTGCTTCGTTTCTCTTGTAAAATAATGAATGGATGATCTGCGAAATTCGATTCCAGTTATTGAGCCTGATCAGAACTAAATCCATAACGATGCTGGAGCTGAACAACTATTGACTTCCCTTGGTTGGCTCGCGAATTCTTCGGGCTGGAGCTAGACTTCATATTATTGGTGGGATGCAGTGACAGTCATAACTGAGTATGAATTCATTTTGGTCTAATTAAAAAAACCTAATGAAAATATATGTACTTAAAAGTAATATCACAAAAATAGCTCTTGTAGTGGGGGATATTTTCACACTCATTGAAGTCAAATATATACAAGTATATAAAAGAATAAAACTCAGCATGAATTTAAGATCACAACATGAAGTTGAGATGGATCTTATAGTGTGTCTATATGCCATTAGTCTTAATTATAGCTTTAATACACTTCTTCACACTTCCATTTATTTTCTTGTGGTCATAAGAAATGGTTGAAGTTCAACAATCTTTAATACAAATTTATAATTTTAGCATTTCTCCTAGATGGTTCTCTTGTTGGTTTTAGAATTAAACGATTTTTGATTGGATTAAATTTTGGAGATTGTGCCAACCACTTGAAAAGATAAAATCTTTGTAATTTCAACCATAAAATCACAAATTTGAACTCAAGCTTTGAATCATTATGGTGTTAGATAATGAAATTTTTTAAACTCAAATTATATGAATGCAATGTATAAATCAACTTGCGCTCTAAAATCTCCTTATAAAGATGTTAATCCATTGTTTCATCAATTTTGCACATAATGCTAGGGTCTTTTACAATTACACAACTTGACATCAACACTCATCTACCTCTAAACTTCATTATATATATTCCTCTAGTACTCAAAGATTCTATCACAAATCCAACATCAACAACCATCAAAGCAAAATCAATTTATTTTCATTTCATCATAAAACATAACATGTACCTAATCATTATTATACAATATTCATTATGTTTTGTAAATGCTAATATGAACTTTATTTAATGAAGTGTGATCTTTGGCTTCTTTTTCTTAATTATGGATTTTAAGCTTGTTTGACATAATATCCTTCTTATGGTGGAATCACACTAATTTAGGCATCCTAATCATGTGGATGCCTACTTTGGATGTCTCAAAGCCACCAATAGTTAGTAATTGCTTGCACATATATTGGGTTTGAAAGGTAGGTGATTTGATCCATATGTTTCTCTCTTCTATGTCCATTGTTGAACTTGTACTTTGGTTTCCACATTGCTGCTTCATTTTAGAAGCTAATTCACTTTTAAATTTGAGTTTTACTGTAATATATTAGTCATAATTTTTAGTTAAAATCAAGTTTGTTGGTTTTATACTTAATTATGATTGCCATAGTATATTGGAGACTCACTTTAGAGGAGCTTCATATCATTTTTTTGCATTTTAGATTTCTACTTTATAAGAAGACTTATGTAATTTTCTACGTCACTCGTATCTATATAATCATTTTTGGTTTTGGTATGTAATGTATAAAGATACAATTATTCCAAGTGACCAACCAAGTGCTAGGTTCACATTTAAAAGTTCACTACATTTTTCAGATATTGTTTGTAAGTATGAAACATGTGACCTAACATGTTATGGTTCAATAAGAGTTTACATTGTTTGTAATGTATTTAAATTTGGATGCAAAATAATTACAAAACAAATCAATCATTAAAAACTAGTTCTTTAACTCACATGAGACTAGTGTGAGTGGGAAAATCTCTTCACGTCCCCACTGGACTTTCTCATGCTCCAAACTTTTACTAAGTGCCACTTACCCATGTTTGACAACTGGTCTAAACTTATCCCCTCATGAACGGAATTTTTGCTCCACCATTTTGTTAATCTACCCTTGGATTGGGTGACAAAAGCTTCAACAGTCTTTTGTACAAAAACTTTGGCATATGGTAATAACTTAATACTGAAACAGGATCAAAGAACCTTTATTCAAATGAATTACAGCACGCTATCAATTCTTTATCATTTTAGACCTACACCAGCTTCACTATTCAGTCTTCCATCACATCTGCTTCCATTCCTTTTGAAGTCGTTTAACCTGAACATGCGCCCTTGACCAATAGATGATCTTCATACTTCACATCAGTGATAATTCACTTGCCACAACGTACACTTATAAGCTTCATTGAATAACACCAAGGAAACATAAACATGTTGATTTTACATAAATAACTGTCTACAACAGAGATGCAATCTTTAGTATAAAAAAAACAGCACAACTCCCACTTTGTACGAGAGCAACTTAAAAAGTTGGTCCATCTCAACCGAGTTTTCGCAGGTCAACAGTATGAGCTGGATTGCAGGGTCTCGTTTGGTTACTTATCTAGAGAAGAGATGAGATGGAGATTCTCGTTGCGGGGGTGTGGATTTTAAAATTTTGAGCAAACACTGATACGCTGTCATCCCGAGGCAGTCTTCTCAATATCTTAGTCTGCAACAACCCACCCACCAAATCTTTGCTCATCTCCCTTCTCGATTACAAAGCCAAGCAGAGTCAGGTTGAGATAGTTTAAGGAGAAGAAAAATTAAACGCCAAGACACACATATCTACATTCATAGCAATCTTCAATCATGATAGTGTGCAGCATTTATATACTACAACAAAGACCTACGAAAACTTGAGCAAACTCAGCAATTACCTTTGGTTTGTTCATAGAGCTTCCATAATAGCCAATGCCGAATGACGATGATGAAAACACTGCCACCAACTCCACTGTCTGCAGCATTCCCAAATTGGAGGAGTTGTGTCGACACATGAAAAACGGGATGAAACGAATAACACTCAACACAACTTTCACAGCTTACGTACCTAGAGATGAACAATTGCGAAGAACAGGGAAGGAAATTAACTACATTAACATTTTCGACTACAGGGTTCATACAATATATGAAACAACCTAGGAAATGGAAACATCCATGGATACTACAAACTTGGTTCCTATAACCTACAATCCTTACTAGAGTGAGCAGTTCCTATTGGAGATTAAATTTCACGTTCATTCTTCCAATCAATTGCTGCATAAAATATTGAACTCCTGGAGAAAACGATTTACTGGCTGGACTGGACTTGAACCCCCCATTTCAAGCATCCATGAAATTTAAAATTCCAACTGCAAGCAACTTCGGTGAACAGAAAAGCTGCCTGCTGCTTCTACGACGTAGAAAATAAATTCAAAATGATAATAGATAATGAAAATAATAATAATAATAATAATAATAGTGGGGAAAAGATAAAGAAAATCCAAGTCATCTGGTCGTGATTCAAACGAGCGAACGTAGATCAGTAAATGTTCTCTTTTGATTGGTTGCAGTTCGTGTCTCAATCATTTACCTGTGTTGAATCGCAATTCGATTGTAGAAACAAAACTCCGGCGTCGTCTTTGCCCCCAAAAGCGTGGCCCTTTTCAATAACAGAACGAAGCGTCGTCTCACACGCATGTCCTGGCCCCTCTTGCAATCTGTAATGATATTAATACATTCTGGTTTTAGATACAAAGCTCTCCATTTTATCAATAGTTAAGCTGCGAAGTCCAAATACAAGGACACCCGTAAATTTAGACATACGTTGTAGCTAATGCAGAGCATCGATATGCAGCAAGTCCTCTCATGAGCTGCTCGCCTGCACCCGAGACAGTACACCCAACTGAAGTACCAAAAATTTCTTTCGGGGTCGCCCAACAGCCACTTCCATAAGTTGCCGCTAAACCCACTCGTCCTTTAACCTAAATCATATTTAATTGTCATAATTGTAAGCTTAACGAAAAGCTAACAAAGAAGGAAACCATAACAGCAATTTGCAATTCAAATAACTTCTGATGTGCTTGTGCAGCTCATAATGATTCGAAAAAGCTTTAATTAGTTGGGACATGGATGGAGTATACCAGCTCCATCGTTTTCACTAATGACATCAACGTCCAAGTTCAATAGTGAATTCATATTGCTCCATGTATAACTATTCAAAAAATGAAGTGATTTTGAACTTACAGCACGCAAAAAATTACCTCTAATATACGAGAAGAGAGCATTATATATAATTCTACAACCACGATGCCGTGAAATGCAGCAAGCGAGTTCAGTCTAGAAATTTCAAACATGCAGAAGTTTATAACAAGATGGAGCATGGAAGTCACTTGATAATGATGATGAGATGCGTGCAATATGACGAAACTTACTTTCATAGCAATGCCACCGCTTGAAGCACCTGCAGCAATGTTACCCTCTCTATCAACACAAACAGCTCCCACGGTGTCCAGCACCACGTCTTCCCTGCTCTTCTCATCCTCTACACCTATTAAATGAGCATCCGACATGCTATCTCTCTCAGCAGTTGGGATGGTCATGGCCAAGCATTGTTTGTACTTTTTCCATTGCTCGTGTGCCTTTTTGGTTATAAGCCACTTCGAAGGAAATAAAAGATGATTCAGTGTTGGTGGTAAGTAGAATAACATGACCAAACTCCAAGAGAAGGGGTAAAGAGATGAAACCCATAAAATTTAAATTGCCAGTTTTGACAATATGATTCATTTATTGTTTTCTACATCAACATAAATGTAAGATCAATTACTCACGACACACTCTTGACACTAAAAGAATGGAAGCAGCCAAAACTGCATTATAATATGTTTCTAAGTCCATGATATCGAGTGCTGTGAGCCACTAGATGAATTTTGCTAACCATAGCATAGTTAGTTTTGGCCATTTCTTACATTCTCGATTTCGCCACTGACTGATTCATCTGCAAGGCCATGTCTAATTGCCCACTCCCGCGCTCCATCACCCACAAGGAAACTGTAATGCTCACCAGAAGTTAACTATCATGCTCATCACTCTGAACGGTGCAGTCAACTATATATATAGAATAGAAGTTCACGATTAAAAATTAAGAAAAACGACATTGAGTTGCCCCTATTTCAGAATTAATGCCTAACAGATAATACTTATACAAATACGATGGAAGACCAACGAATGTTCTTAGCCACTCTTGAATATATGATATAGTAACACTGTAATTTTTAGAACAACACATGGAAAAGTTTGTTCCGCACACAGGAGGAGTTCGACCAAGAGGGAGGGTTCCTTTACGGCTTTCTTTCGCCAGCTGCATGGCTACGTCAATTGCATTTCGAACACCTGCAAAAGAAAGTGCAGGTCATAATGTCATATCATACATCTATCTATCCAATTGTCTTAACGTTTCCAAGCATTAAAGGATTATGCTAGAACTGACTGCATTAGAGGTCGTTTGATGAGAGATGAACACAAATTTTAGTTCTAAATTCATCCGAACTAATTGAGATCATTTGCTAGCGATTCTGAAAGTCTAAAATTACCAGGAACTGCTCCAACAGCTCCAAACGCTCCGCTATGTCCGTCCATCACACTTGCATCGCACTCAACGTGGCCATCTTCTGTCAGGTTAGAACCTCTGCCAGCATTTGTGACTTCATCATCCTGGAAAACGATGGTGCATGCAAACGCACTTAAAAATATAATTCACATAAATAACTGACATAACATTTACAAAGAAAATTGCCAAAGACAACTTGTGCAGAGTTAACTTGCTTGGATAGAATTTTTGCGTCACCTCACCTCCAGCACTCTAATTGCTGCCGCTACAGCATCGAGGCAACTCACTGTCTCCTGAAACACACGCAGCCGATGGGAACACTAAGTCTAAAAGAGTCTGTATGTAGGAAATCGAGTATCGTCGACTTTAGGTTGGTGACGACGCCAATCACTGGGCTTAGTATAAAGTTCACGAGAAAGTAAGAGTTGTAGATGTTTCCCTTTGATCTTGCGAATGGTATGATACTCGAATATCTAGATCTCAACGATGCAAACTAACTGTAGAGGACCATAAAGAGCTATGAACGACTGATGATCTTGCAGCGGGGTAAACTCAGTTGTAAAAACCACAGTTAATTAGCCGCATTCTGTTTGCAGAGAAGATAAACCTAGTTACACTGTAAGCATGCCATGCAGCACTACCAGGTCCTAGCTACAACCAAGATGAGGGGGATGTAGTAGAAACAGACAAGCGTTCGGAATCATCAAAATTTGTAGCCTGGCCTCCTCTACAATGTTATTAACAATTTGTATTTAAGTTAGTGGAAACTTTAATTCTGAAATGTGAGAATGAAATTATCTACTACCGATCAAGTAAACAAATAGAACTTCATCTTGCCACACTGCCATCAATTTGCTCCTCTAAGACAATAGGATCGCAATAAGATACCCCCGAGAGGACGGCTGCCGCAGCCTGGCAAGCACGTCGCATAGCCAATTGATACGCTTTCGCTTTCTTCTCCGAATGAAACCCCGCCCCGACGTGCACAGCCACGAAAAATGAACCCTGTCCTTTACGAATCACACCACCACCGCCCTGCCCTTCCATCGGCCCAAAACCGATGCACAAATCCTTGCCTCTCTGATCTTCGTCGCTAGGGTTTTTCTCCCCTCCGACGCCCTCATGTTCGTCACCCGACATCGACATATCTCCACGCCTATGTCTCACGCAAACCGCTATTTGGCCCTCACAATTTCCAAAACTATGATCAAGTGCTCCTAATTTCTACTATTTGACGCGAAAATCCGCTGATCAAACACAGTTAAAACTCAACTATCTTAGTCTTCCCCCCTGTTTCAACTCAACTTCATCGACTTTTCCTGCGCAAGCTCACGAAACATCTGCATATTAAGCCTTTGCCTGGATCGATCAACAGCATTGAGAGCACTTGAGCCCTCTATTAACAATGCTTACCGATGATGATACGCGAGGAAATACCGGTATTAAGTTGGAGCTAGCAAACCTTGCGAGACGACGATTCTTCTCCTCGGGAAATCAATTTCCTGCGCAAGAGTCAGTCGGAGAATTGCTTTTTCGGACCAGCAAGTTCATATTTTTAATTAACGAATTCTTAAATATTAAAGTAACAGCGACAAATTCGCAGGTAGTGTGCACCATGCTGGTTAAAAACTTCAACAGCGAAAACAAAGCCTCAGAAACACGGAATTATTGTCGAGTTATCTGGAAAATCGGTTTTTAGATCCATTGACGCATCGAAGTGCATTTAAAAACCAAATCAAGCAGGTCATGAATTCCCACGACCAAGCCAGAAAGCAAAAGTTCGATGACATTCCTCCACGAAAAAAACTTGAAACAATTTGATTTGCAGGAAGAGCGAGAGAATCAAATGGCGTTTACAATACAGAACTACGAGATAGAAAAATTGTCGAGATTGTTGATATTACAACCCTGTTATTTACAATCACCTACTTAGGCATATATAGAAGGATGGTATAAAAGCTTCTTCTTCCTCTCTGAAAATAACCAGGTTTGCTTGAATTTCATAAACCCAACTATATTCTCACCCTATTCAAATTTAGTTTATCAAGTATAGTGCATTTTATTTCTTAAAATTAGCAGTTATTTATGGTACGTAGAACGTAAAAATAGAAAATCTACACAAGTATCATAAATTATCAAATGGAGGGGATAGAAATGAAGTACAACTTGGAGTTAGTGTTTACTGATGGTTCAAAACCTTAGACACCAAAGATACATAGATTTGTTTTGATATTCTCCTTTGATGTAGAAAAAGAAAAATGATGTTTTTTATTAATTTTTATTTATTTTAAAAGTTTTTGTTACTTTCTAAAGCGGTTTAGAACTATAAAAAAACATAAAATATAAAATTACAAAATTATAGATCAATAACTATATGACATGGCCATGTCAAAATTCAATAATATAATTGCTTTCTTGGAATTATGGAAAACAATAGTTTGATAGCACCACTTTTAGTTATATATTTTTTGACTTCTAATAAGTTAATCTCTTTAATGGAGTCTAATTAAAATCTCAAAGTGCATGTATTGCAATTTGAGGTGGTATTAATAATCTTACATCCACTACAATGGACCATATGAAAAACAATTGCAATGTAATTAGTTAATTTTCTTTATAAACTTTGGTCTTAAAATAATTATAATATTCTTTTTAAGAATGGAAATTTTGAAGCAAAGTAACTTATAATTAAGATTTATTCACATCTTTTATCATATAATTATGTATATATATATATATATATATATCAAAATACATCAATAAAATATAAACATCAAGCTTAATTAATATGAAAATATTTCTAAAATTATACAATTAAAAAAATTAACAATACTATTACATCAAATACATTTATAATATATTTTTAGTACCAAAATTTTAAGATATTTTATAGATTATTTATCCATTTAGTTATAAAATAAAAATATTAATTTTTTTTTTCTTTTTTTTTTTTCTAAAAGGATATGAAAAGACTTAAACAAGCAATGATTTTTGATTTTTGTATTAGTGTGTATCTTTAGATTATAAAATAAATATTATTTCTTCTAAATTATTATTAACATAAAAAACATTGTAGTGACATCCATTTAATGAATGTGGAGGTAACATAAAGCCTAAATTGCTAACAAAAAGAGAAAAAATATATTCTTTTTGAAATTTAAAAATAAAAATAAAAATCTTTTTTATTTGATTTTTTGTATGTTAAGAGAAGCTTTGGGCTATGTAGTGGATTTAGAGTATAGCCATTGGTGGTGCCATTGAGCTCCCCGTTGTTGTGATATAACACAACTAATGAATGAAAGAGAGAAGAAAACACTATATTATAGAAGATCTTATTTTAAAATATTATAGCAAATTATCTTAGAAAATAGGTAATAGTCAAAAAGATGGTGAAACTAAAGGATACTATTTCTACTTTTTTATGAAATAGGCTTCTACTTATTTTGTAGGGCCATAAATAAGGCAAAATAAAGTAGATTGGAAAATAAAATGATATAGACATATGAAGGAGAGAATTAAGAGTAGATTTTAGCAAACTTTATTTCAAGAAGCCAAGAATTGATTCCCAGAAAGGACAAGTTATCAACCTGGGTCGAAATCAGACCCTAAGACACAAAACTGTGCACCTATAGTGATTCCAGAGTTCTTTGGTAGATTGGAAAGTGGAATTTGAGAGCGGACTTGCAAAGAGATTTTTGAGCACTAGTTTTATGTCAATTAAGTTAATATTCAATTTTGGGGGGATTTTCAAAGTTACTGATGTTCTTGGTTGGTTTAGATTTTAAGAAATAAAACTATGTTTACATATTTGAAGGTTTCTTGAGTTTTGTGGTATGTATATGGGTAAATTTTGGGTAGAATGTTGGTGTGCTAGTTGTGAATGTGTGTGCAAATTTTGGGTCAACTGAATAGTTAGATCAAAGTATATGAAAGTTTTTGTGGATTGGGGTCTTAGAAATTGGAGTTTGAGGATCAGTGAGTATTTTTAAGATCTTTAGTAATCTGTCAATTGGATTGAAGTGGAATTTTTTTGTATAGAGACTAGACTTGACTTTCAATAGTTCAAGTGAATTTTGGAAAAAATTCAATAGTTCAAAAAGGAGATATTGGAACTAGAAGCTCAACATTCAGATTAGAATAGGAGGCCAGCCAATACGTGAATAGATTTTAGGATTTTTCTTCCATTTAGTACGTGCAGTTATCTTCAAATTTTTTATACTTGTTTTCAACTAAGAAAGTTGAGAGACGTGTAAATTTTTTAAGCAAGATCAATAGTTTAATCAATAGATATTGGAGTTCTAATCTACTTTAGGATTGATTTGAGTTGATTAAACTTAGATTAGAGTTTGGTTTAAGATTCAGGATTTGTCTAAGATTTGGTTTAGGATTTAGGATTTTTCTAGGATTTGGATTATTGTTTGGAATTTTTTAGGACTTAGGATTTTTTTAGGATTTAGTTTAAGATTTATAATTTGTTTTGGATTTGATTTAGGATTTAGAATTTAATTAGAATTTGACCTAAAATTTAATTAAGATCCATTAGGATTTCAATTAAGAATAAATTAGGATTGGATTAGGATTTATTTAATATTTATTTAAGATTTCTCTAGTATTTTTTTAGGATTTCTTTGGATTTCTTTAAGATCTACATATTAATTTTTTACAATTTCTTTAAAAATTCTTTAGATTTATATATATATATATATATATATATATATAATTTCTTTAGGATTTTTTTTGAATTTGATTAAAGCTTGATTAGTATTATTAAGATTTAATTGGAATTTATTTAGGTTTCTATTAGAATTTTTAGGATCTTGTTGTTGAAATTTTCCTTCTACCTTCCACTGCTAGGTGCCTAGTGTTGTGATATAACACAACTAATAGGTGAAAAGGGCAAAAAAAATATTATATTATAGAATATCTTATTTCAAATATTATAGAAAATTATCTTAGAAAATAGACAATAATCCAAAAGAAAGTAAAATTAAAGGTATAAATACTATCTTTTTGCAAAGTAGGCTACTACTTACTTTGTAAGGCCATAAATAAGGCTAATGAAATTAGATTAGAAAAATGAATATGAGCATATGTAGAAGGAAGTTAGGAGTTGATTTTTATAAAAATTTACTTAAAAAAGGTAAAATTTGATGTCCGAAGAGGACTAGTTACCAATCTTAAAAACTAGCTATACAATCTGTCTTTATAGTTGAGCTGCCCCTTTGGATAGAATAATGTTGGGTTTGATATGAAGCACATCATTCCACGCAAATTTTGCACGGTGTACAAACTCAAATAGAATAATAGGTCAATCCATAATTAAATCTATGTAAGTGATTCTATATGTGGGTACAGTGCAAAATAAAACACTTCTAGAAATTGAGACGTTGCAAAAACACTTGCAAAAACAAGGCTCAACAAAGACAACACTCTAAAACTTTGCTAACAGGTTTCAGAGAGGAAGACACCGACATCTGCCCATCAGTAGTGGGTTTGAAGTATTGATGCAAAGTATCTTCTGTCTTAATATTTGCAAAATTTGATTCGAAGTCCCTAAAAGATTCCACCAAGTTCCACATGCTGTTAGAACTGTCTACTGGAATTAAGATGTCACAAATTGTACCGTTTATTTAAAATATGTCTCTAACTGACTTCCATTTGAGGGGACAAGTTTCGCGAGGTATCAGTAAACGCTTGAGATAAATAAGAATTGTTCAAGAACCAGTAACAGATCAGGACATATCTCCACCTCATCAAATAATCTACAAATGCACTAAGTTTGTTCTCAATCAAAGCTCTGATCGTTTGTACTTGCTTCAAAGCGGTTTAAATGCCAAAAAGATGAAAAACCGCCTCGCCTAGCATGCCAATCACCAGATCTGTAAGCTTAGAGATCGCACCAATGGGTCTAAACAATCAAGTGTTTCACTTGTTTTGAGTTCGTCATTAGGTTGGACCGACGGCAGCAATCAGAAATTTTCTCAACAAAGCAACAGCTTACAATCATCACTGAATCTTCCTTCAAGTGCGCAACCACGTTTAATCCTCAAAAACTCACGAACTCAAAACCGTGTCGGTGTAAGGGTAATGCTAAAAGTCATCAAGTTGCCAAAACTCTGAGGTCTGGCTCGTGAGGAAAGACTTCCTTCGAGACCTTGGCGGAATGCACATCAAGCATTTTTGAATTGAAAGGAGCGTTCTGTGTAATCTGTGAGGCCACAGTTTGTAAAATGACCTCGATCATGTAATCTTGATTCATAGGTTTAGTCAAGAAAGCATCCATTCCAGCATGCAAGCATTTGTGTTCGTCACTGGCCATGGCATTAGCCGTGAGGGCAATAATGGGCGTCTTTTGCTGTTGCTCCTGCTCAATGCTACGTACTGCCTTGCAAGCTTCATATCCATCCATAACTGGCATCTGTCATGTACACAACCCACAAGAATTAAAATATAAATAAACAGTAAAATGCACAAACTCAGACATTAAAAGGGTTGTCATATTAAGGTGAATGTGCCTGTCCACGTAAAGCTACGAAAATTAGGTGAAAAGCTCGACAGAAATTACACGGCACAATTTTCAAATCCAGATTTGGAAGTATGAGGTATTTTCGGTTTGTTGAGACCACAAATCTTAAAACTTAATATCAACATCAATAGATTGACACATCATTGTTACTGCCAATAGAACTCCACGATGATATCAACAATGTTTCATTCAAGGCTCTTTAGCACACCATCTATAGACTTTTTACAAATATCAAATATAGGAGGTTTTCATCATGGGCACAGTTACCCTAGGTATGACAATCTGTATCATGGAGTTTAGAGAAGGTAATTCCACAAGTAGTTTTCAGGAAAAACTCCATCTGTTCATAAAACAAACAATATACCTGGCAATCCATAAGTATACAGTTGAAAGGTGACTTGCTGTTATCGATACGATCTTGAACTGCATCTACTACCTCCTGCCCGTTGCCAGCCTCATAAGTGATAGCCCCGAGTTTCTGCAACATCACAACAGCAAGCCTGCGCAGAAGAGGAGTATCTTCAGCCACCAGAATTTCAAGGTTCTCAAATGGTTTTGAGACAGCCCCTACAGGCACCTCAGGTTTTCTGTTTAGCGTCCTAGTCCTCCGATGAGTACACTTAGGCCTAGGAGAAACACTGGCATCCTGGCTCTGGGTACCAGAAGTCAAGAGGGATAATGTGGGATGTTTCCGAGTAGCCTGATCGAAGGATATGTTTGGAAGCGACATTGTCCCCTCCGGCTTAGGAACACCCGGGAGAGAGACCTCAGTGTCACATCTGTACGGATCATCCCACTCTTGCTGCTTAGCATAGGCTAAGGCATTTGACGAAAGTATTTTGGGTCTTTCAGCATCCATAGTTGGCAAGCTGTCTCCCATTTCACTTGCTATCTGATGCAGAAGCTCTTTTAACCGGGTAGCATGAAGTGGTCGTCTTACAGCAATGGAGTTTCGAACTGATCGCAATGCAGTCTTCACTGGTTCCGGAGTATTAGATGCTGTTACCCAAACAACCAAAAGGTTTCGTTGAGTGTCTAACAACTGCCGATCATTAGGATGAAGTTTCTCAAGCCCAAGAGTGTCCAAACACGCAGTCGGATTTCCCGTTAAAAAACCTGATTGTCGCAAGTATTCTTCAAGACAATCATGCTCAACAGTACTTGGTAAAAGGCTTATGTCGATAATTAACAATTGCCGTTGCAGACCACTAAATGCCTTCGTACCACTAGACTGCCAGCTTTTCCAAAAGTCATATCGACTGGAAAGCTTCTGGGTCTTAGACTTGAGAGCCTTACCAATTCCGTCCTTATCCATAATTAGGGGTTGAACACGATCTACATGATGCCGGTGAGTCAAATTTGAGGTTCTAACATCAGTGTCAACCGAAATCCCATTCAGAGCTCTCATGTGAATAAGAACTTCTTTCCACGTTTGAACTTCGTGAGCCACAAGGCCCCAGGTTTTGACCCAGTGAGCAGCAACAGCGCGACAATCTGCGTTCGGGATTCCTAGGATTACCTCAGCTGCTTCTAAAGAAGATGGGAGAATGAAAGGAATCTTTTCCATTTTCAGCGAACGCTGGAAACAGATAGTGAACTGAAATACAGAACCTTGGCCTTCCTTTTCAACGATTCTGATGTCCCCTCCCATTATTTGCACAAGCGACTTAACGATACCCAGTCCAAGTCCAGTACCTCCATGCCTGTAAGCTCAGCGAAGAAAACATGAACGTAAATTGAAATCCCAAAAATATACAGCAAGTCGGATGTATCAATGCATGAACAGTTCGCAGACAGTACAAGTACAAATGACTTACGTGCGAGTTGTGCTTGCAGCGCCCTGAACAAAATTCTCAAATACACGCTCCCGCAGAGCTGCATCCACAATGTTGTTAACGAGAATGGATTCACTACCAATTCAACTAATGAGAGTCGTCATTTCAATACTAAAATCACCGAAGAAGTTTGAACCCAAACTGAATGAAGATGGGCCTCACTTGGTTCAATCCCTGGTCCAGTATCATCAACTTCAAATAATATGATCACTTCATCACTAGTCCGAAGATCTGTAAACATAGTTTCCAGAGAAAATGAACTGAAACCACGGCGTTGAAGTCGGCTGGAAGTAGGATTTACACCATCTTCAGGTGTTGCAAGCCGCGCACGTACTGATATCCTCCCACAGGATGTGAACTTAATACTATTCCCAATCAAGTTTGTGAAGACTTGCATGACTCGGGCTGAGTCACCTACGACGTTCTTCGGTACGTCATCTATGAATTCACGTTTATGCACTTATTAGTCACAAACACATAACCATGGAGATACATGAGGATAAAATTGCCAAAAATGAGACTTATAAACATAACAGACGCAACTGTCAATAGGTGTGTTGCTTGCACCCACAGAACGTATGCAGTCCAAACTTCCATATCAACGCATCCGAGAAGGTGAAAAAAGTCGCAATGCAAGCTGACCTGCAAGCTGAAGGCAGATAAATAGACCTTTGTTATCACATTGTACTGAAAAGACATCAATAAGGGCTGTTAATTCTGCCTCAAGATCAAATTCCGCCATCTCCAGCACAAGTTTTCCAGATTCCACCTGCAAGTGACAACAACTGATGCCAAAATTAGGTTCTGATCAGGATTTTGTCCAGTATAAGACCATGTGAAAATGAGAAAATTGGAATCAGAAGCAGAAAAAAAGTGAGGCAGAAATGATATAGCTTATAGAATGATCCACTCGAACACAATAAAAATATAAAAAATGAATGTTTTATGAACAATACCACTGCTAATGCAATTGGGGTACAAGGACGCGCTTGACATTGAAAACGACACATCAAAGGCTTTCTAAGTTTTAGTATGAAAGGATGATTTATGAAATGACACAAGAACTCCATGATCAAAAAATAATCCACTTGCTGTTTCTATGCTATCAAATTACTAATCCGAAGGGTGGAAATCACACCGAACCTGCTTAGTAAAAGATATTCAAAAGTAACTGACCGAAAATGTTATAGACGAAGTACATCATGGGACATCAAAAGAGCAATGTATAGAAATAATGCTCATAGATCGCATACATACCTTTGCAATATCAAGAGCAGAGTTCAGGATGGCAACAAGAGAAGTGGCACACCGATGAATTTGGCGGACACTATTTGCGATGTCATCCAATAATTTCTCCGATAGAAGCATGTCTAGCAGCCCAATTATACAAGCCATTGGGGTTCGTAGCTCGTGACTGTTTCAAAGACCAAGAAATTTAGGCAAAAGAATATTTCTGTAAATAAAGCAGGTTCTCCGTCAACAACATTCAATAAATGAGCAGGCTGATAGTTTCTAAACCGTTCAATCTTGAACTCATCCATACTGGTAAATTTGAAGACACAGGAGCCTTCTTAAAAGAAATGCATCAAACTACAAGCAGGAAATTTAGTGAAACTTGCCACAATCAGTGTTTGCTCAGGTAGATCTAATCAGTTGAATTCATGCATCCTCCATGATATCATCTGGACCAGCACTCTTCCTTGTTCGACAGAGATAGAAAACACATTTATAAAATTTACAACAAATCAACAAACTTGTGTCCACACTTGTAAACGATGTATCACCTCATGCTTGACAAAAAATTCGTCTTAGCATCTCGACTGGCTTCCGCCCTGCGTTTAGCCTCAGACTGCCTCTGAATCTCCGCTCGCAGCTTCTCCTCCGCCTGGACTTGTTCAACGAGCAAGTATATAAGACTGCACCCAATGAAAACGACACCAATAGACAGCAAAGGCAACGTGATCCAAGTAATCCTTGTGTAGTAATCCATGGGTCCCCAAAAACTGTGCCGGGGAATCATTATCACCACCGCTAATCTGAGAGCTTGAAATTCATACGGCCAAGTATCTACAGAATATCGTTTGTTCCGAATATTCACATCAGCAAAGCTGGTTCGGTTTTCGACAAGCGACTTCAACCCCACTTCTTTATCCAGGAAATCCTTTGCTTCGTTTAAAATGGAGTCCACTTGCACCGGAGCTTGTTCACACTGTGTCTTGTTCTGCGGCACACAAGCCGTAGCATCTGAGGAGAAAAGCGTTGTTCCAAGCTGATCCGAAATAAAAATCCTCCCCCCTGCTACAAAGTTCAGTACGTATATTGCAAGCAGAAAGTAGCAGGGCTAGTTCGCATGTGAAAAGAGCACCCTCGTGTACTGAAAAGGAAAAACTAAATAAGATTAAACTATAAAATTGAAAACTTTATAAACATCAGCAAAGGGGTTCTTATCTATGAAAATCTGATCAGAAGTCTAGGGCAGTAAAGTAGACCTATAAAGTCAGTGGGAACTAGGTGTAACACTAAATAATTGCAGCAAAGCATTGCTATAGATTCCCAATCAATTAATCAGTTCCAGACAATGAGCAACACTGAACACTACGTTGTCAAGCTAACAAATTACCCAGCATTAGACTTACAGACCCTCGCCAGCAGCAACAGGTACATGTGGCCAGGAAATAAGAAATGACTAAGACCAGCATATGACCAACTACGCTTGTAAATGTAAACCAAGAAGAATGAGAGCATCTTCGAGAAAAGGAGCTCTCACAAGGCCTCGCGGAAATTCTCACCTTTCAAGTCAAGAGAGGCAAGGAAGTTATTGATCGCAATAGAACTATGGCCGGAGTGGATAATTGCGAATTCTTTAGTGGTATGAGATTGCACGGGTATTGAACACAGCACAAACGCGTGTCCATCTGCATTACACAAAACCGTGCCGGTTAAACGTGCAGAATCTCTTGCTTCCTAATCGTTGAGATTTCACGTTCAATGTTCTGTTCTAAATGTTTGACCTTCACCTTCCTAGCATAGTAATGCAGAGAAAAACGCAAGCTGTGGAACAAAATCGTATTTCAAATTTTGACACTTCGTTAACTGAAACAATCGTAAAACTATAAAGGCTCACTTTTACAGATTCACACTACTGCAATAGAAACAGTCAAAACACTTACTTATCGTGTGGCGCTCAATATACCAGGAAAGGTTAGTCAGGGGCACTTTCATAGCGTCCGTAAACCACCGATAGGTATGCAAAGGCAGCAGCTCGGTCTCACGAGAAGCCTCTGATATTGGATCGCCAGTGTTTTCATCCACAAATTCCTTGTAGTACATGGGATTCTCAGAATTAGTGCTATTCGAGAAAATTAAAAGGTTTCCATCATACTCTGACTCCTTACGAGCATATACTGCTGTCAATCCATTCAAGGCCGTTACACCCAACGATGTGATCGTCGGCATAGCTTTGAAAATGGACCATGTCGCCAGCCGTATCTGCAGAGGTAATAATAAGAATTTTACAGTTAATAAGCGCTCCAATTTCTTATTGGTTTCTCAAATTCTTACACATACTATCAAAATATGAGATGTATCCACTAGTTTCAAAGAATACACGAACCACAATATGGAGTATGAACCTCTGCAATAAAAAGTATACTTGAAAAACAAGAGAGAAACGGATCATTGAACGTTATATAAATTGCCAACGGCACTCTAAAAACAATGAGACTCGAACCCTAAAATAAAAATAATAAACCAAAAACAACAGACTTCGACCCCAAGCAGCAAATCTTACTGTAATTTTCAGTCAACAACGAAACAAACTGAGCAAAATCATACAAAGTAAAGAACATGTTACATGATCAGAAGAACAGGCTCAATACCTTCTCTAGGGACTGAATTCCAAAGTCAGAGCCAAAAAAGTTCTTTTCCATCAAGTGGAAAAGGGCCTTCGAACTATAGGTATTCATCTTAAAAATCCCATTGAGAAGTTCAGATGTGTTGACGAGAATTTCAAGTCGCAACGATTCTGATAGATTGGTCACTGCAGTTTTCGGGTAACTATGTGTAAAATACCACGTGCTAACTGTGAGAGCTCCTACCAGAACAGCCACTGTGACCTGCATCAGCATGCCCTGGCCTTCAGTCCCTCAATCGTGCACTTCAAATTTAGAATATAATACATCCCAATGTAAGTGTGCCACAGGACGCCCACAATCGTTAAAGATTCAACGAAAAGCGGTTCAAATCATCAAGACCCACTATGAAAGCATCGAGAGTCAAATCCAGCTCCAATGCCACACATTGAGGAAAATGCAATCTGAGCTTTTTGGATGTCCAGCACTGACTCTCCCGAATCCAGCTGTAGGTTAATTCCAACGAGTATGACTGCAGTAATCAGCTCTTGTCCAAATGAAAATTGACGTTCTCTTTTTCAAGAAACCTTCCTTCATTGCAATGGATAGTTCATAGTATTGCAGAAATGAAGCGTCAAGGAAACCTTGACTACAGCGCAGATCTCCGCTTAAAAGCAGCAAACATCAAACATTTGAAACAAATCCTCAGCATTCATGGTTATCACCTGCAACAAGACACTCCAGCATGAAGCATCGAAATGCAAGGCATCACTAAAATTTAATTGCAGCTTCCAGACAAACAGATGAGCAAGTTTTTCTCCGAATAGCATGCAAAGAGTAACTTCCGTACGCTCCAAAATTGGAGTAGTAAAGCTGTAACAATTCAAAGATATTTCGACTGATCTAAGTTGCAGCAATGGCTGCACCGATGAACAGTGAGAACCTGTAGTTAGTGCAAAATCGCCGGAGCTAAATGTCCAAATTACCGATTCAAGTTTCAAATTGGATCTTTACGCAAAAAACCGAACACAAATTCTCAACATTCTACGCGCAATAAAATCCGAGGTAATAACCGAGATGCAGCTGCAAGCTGCCCGTTGATTATAGGAAAAAAGGATCTTGGTTGGTTCCACCTAAACATTTCCCCATTCCCTGGGCTACAAAATCGTCCTTTACAAATCCTTTTCTAAAAATAATGCAAGTGTCACTCTATATGAGCCTTATTGAAGTGTCCACATAAATAAATCACAAAACGTCGTCCGGGCAATAATATTCGGCTGTGATGAATATTGATGCGGCAGGAATCCTGAATTCCCAATCGTTCAAGAACACTGCAGTCAAACCAGTATCCAAACTGACCGTGTAGACATTGCAGAACCTAATGTAGCCATCGAAGTTTCTGATCGCAAGAACAACGTTCACAAGACCCTCCTGTAAGTGCAATGCCTTCATTCATCATCTAAATTTGAAGCAGTGTCTAAAACTTTACCAGTGTTAAAAGCTAGTTCCAAGAGCACAGTCTCCTTCAGAACGATCTATTTTGGTCACCAATCTGCCTACTAACTACGAACACGATACAAACGATCCCTAACCATGCACTCCCACTGTCAGTGACAATAATCCAGGCAAGATGCTTGCTAAGAGTGAGATTGAATACCATGATAACAACACGGGAAGCTGTAAGATTTCGAGCTGGATGAGGAAGCTCTTCCATGGAGAAATGATCAGAAACACCGTAGTTGCTGTTGCTGTTCCGCGGCGTCGAAGTAGCCATTTTCTTTGTCTCCCCGAGCATCTTCTCGAATACATCCTCTGTATTCATATCCATTGCATTGCACTAATGTTTCCGAGTGCTTGCCAACACGCATATTTCTTCTCACATCTCCCAGATACGACATCAACGTACACCTGCCTCAACTATCACACGGGCACGTCCTTCCTACGCCTCTCTACTCGTTCTGCAATCCAATTTCCAGCAGTAGCAAATCAAACGAAATGCCACATCGTCTACCTTTCACCACCTGTCTCCACTGAATCCACAACATCTCCACCGCCACTGCTCAACTCACACCTACCTGCGAGTCCATGCCCCTAATTTTGACCTCAGTACTCCACCCTCGTCCCAAAGAGACCTCACACTCCCACAAGCACCAAGGTCGCTGGAAACAATGAATCCTCATCCTCTTAACACTAATTCCACACCCCGCCATTACGATGTCACGCAAAATCTTCAAGAATCCAGACAATGAAGTCTCCAGCTACCGAATTGCGTCAAACCTCTCCACATCTCCGTGATCGTCTCTCGGTTCCTCGGCATTTTCCTCTACACAACCCCAAACCCCCTCGCAGTCCCCCTCCTTCCTCTCACCTCAACTCCGCTCGACAGAATCCAACTAACAATGCATCCCCGCGAATTTCAAACTCGACGAAACTGACCTCACGACAGAATTATGTTGGAAGATCTGCACCAAGTGCGACGACATGAGCGGGAGCTCGCACAGCTGGAAAGAAACAAAGCGAGATCGCTGAATAAAAACCGATGCAGCAACTACAGTTGGCGTCGACTGTAGCACGAGGAGGGAGGGATGGACTGAGCGAGTGAGAGAGCAGGGGGATGGCCCCATGCATAGGCATAGAGTAGAGGCGCCGTAGAGGACCCGCAGTCCCTAACCCCGCCCACTTCCTCGAGTTCCGTGACTGCCTTGGACGGAGGAACTTCTCTGACACGTAATCTTCCGCCTTCTTGCCACGTAGATCATGGCTGTTTCGCGCGGGACGGTCGTGGTCGACGTCAACCCGTATCCTCCGGAGCTTTCGTTATGGCACTTTGGGGTAATCTCTCTTCAATTTCGTCCCTTCCGTCACCTGGAATGCCACTCGCGACGTGGGGTGGGTCTCCAGAAGTCCACGTAGGTGTCATTGGGCATTGGACCCTGCCACATGTGCATGGCACAAAGAGAGAGTGTGGAGCTGAAGATGAGGGTGTGGATAGAACAGAACTCCCTGTTCCCACCGCTGGTCAATCTCCATTGAGTTTCAAAAAGCCCCCCCCCCCAAAGCGGTATGAACAAAATTGTGTGCATGTGTTCATTAAAATTTGCCTCCTCATTTTCCTTGGGATTTGTGTTCCTGTTGCGCCACGTCCATCACATTCCTCGCCACCCTTCAAAATCACACAATCATAATTCTGAATGAAACTTAACATGGGAAGTTGACAAGAAACATGTCTCCGAGGAAAATGCTTTGGAAATGTATTCTAACTTCTTTTTTCTTATTAACAAGGTGCAAGTTATGTTGTTTGTTTTTTTCATTGTTTTTATTGTCCACATGTTGATGTTCCATCTCATCAATGTATTCCCCTCCATTTTAGAAACGTTGTCTGCATCAAACCCCCCCACCCCTTCCTCCTGTTCCTAAGAACCACGGCCTACCAAGGGTCAACACGTGGCATGCAACCACCAAACAGCCAGGGTCAAGCCAAAGGATCAAAGTTGTTCTGACAACAGATTCTGTTATCCCCCCTGATGACCTATTAGCATGCCACGTAAGCAAATACTGCCAGTTCCACTGTGGGGACACCTTCCCGATACACCTGTTTCCGAATCTGGAAAAGCTCGGCTATCTAATAATAGACTTGCTTCCTTTCCCAGCCCTGCCCTTTCCTTCCAATAGGATCCAGGAGCAGGGCCACGGGGACAGCTTTCATCACAAATGAATGGAAATATCTCGGAGGTGAGGAACATTTTGCATCCCATAATGGTGCAACCATGACGTGGCAGCTAGAAGGGTGACCTGGACGAAATCAATACTAGGTGAGGGTCCACCACCACCGAATTAAGGTCTTGTTGGGAGGGCCCACTGAAGAAAAGAACAAGCGCTGGAGAGAGGTCGACAGTGACATCTGTGCCAGGTTTCAAGATCTTATAGGATGGAGAGGTACTGACAGGTGTCGGACAATGGGAGTAGAGAGGTGCGTGCCGATGGAGCACAGTACCTACCCCACCGCCACTGGGCAGCATAGATACTCCTCCCCTCCCCTCCCGGCCAGCGATTTCTTCGCCTGCGGAGATCCGTCCCCACGCTAACAATAACGAAATCATGGGCCAGTATCGGGGCACTCAAATAGTTTGTGGTGGGCAGCATCTGGGGTGACTGCCCTTGCACAGCCACGGGCAGTCCAATCGAGCGCGGGTGACCGTTTCCCGCATTCTCCCTTACCCGTGGGGTTCCTCTCCTCCCAAGACCGTGGCCACCAATTTGTGAGTTAGTAAATATATCAATACATACATATATATATATATATATATATATAGGTGTGTGTGTGTGTGTGTGTGTGTGTACATACATACATAAATATATTAAATGTATATATATGTCTGTGTGTGTTCAAATTCAAGTAGTTTTTTATTTACTAACAATTGAAAATACATTGATTAAAATTTATTAAACATTTGTAAATGTTGCCATTTGACAAGACCATATCTGAATTAACATTGGATTTGAAGGATCATATACAAGTAAATTAATGTGGAAGGATTATAGAACTCAGGCTCTGCTATTGAAAATTCCATGAGGAAGCATGAACCACTTCATCATACAATTTTTTGGAGTTATTTAGTTATTTATTGGAATTCAAGTCTATTTTTATTTTGTAAAAAAAAAAACCAATACATTACTTTACTGCTATTAGAACAAAAACTTATGTATTTTGTATAGTGGAAGGGTTTACTCTTTGCAATTCACAATTTAATCTCACCTTGTTCTCAACACAAAATGCAAACTTTTGAACAAATCTTGGTACTTTACTTTCTCAAGAAAAATTTATTTTTACTACAACATATGTTTGATGGGATTTCTATTAGAATAGATGTAACACATTAAATAAATATATATATATATATATATATACATAATCTTGCACCGTAAATAAAAATAAAAATATATATTAATCATTACATGTAAAATCATACCTTTTTCAGAATTTTGTAATATTAAAGGCTTGATTAATGTGTGTGTTTGTATATGTTTATATATACGTACACATACATACACATACATACACTAGAAATCTATTCCTTTATGTTATACATATGTACTAGAACAAGTATGGAAACTCATGTATTTATTACTTCATCACAAGTCACAATTGGGATTTCTAAGGTGTGTTGTACTTATAAATCCATAGTATCAATGTTCTAATTTCTAATCTTATCTCTTGCAAATAAATTAGATTCTAAATTAATATCTAAAATTTAGAAACAAATCAAAATATTCTTATCCAAATCTTTGCAACAAACAAAATAATCAAAATGACAAAAGAAGCCTTCAATCCTATTCTAAATAATCATTATATATATATATATATATATATATATATATAGAAATTATAATTAGACCTAAGCTTTTATAAAATTGATCCATCCATCCTAAGAATTATAAAAAAAAATGACCTCTACATTCATTTATCCACCACTAGATCTAAAACCAATAAAAACTAACCACACTTATCATGATTACCATATATATATATATATATATATATATTTTATCATGGATAGATTAATTTAGTAAAAAACTTGGATTTAGTAACATTTTTCTATATATAAAATTTAATTTTTATATGATGTATATTTTTAAAGTTTTTCTTATATTAAAATATATTTTTGTATGTTTATTGATTAGTATTAAAACAAACTAAAGTATTAAATATATTGCAATGTTTTTTTCTATAAATTGCAAAAAAAAAGAAAAAAAAAATTGAAAAACCTTTGAGTATCATATATCAGTTATATTATTAAAGAAATAAAATTTTCTTCAAAGATTTAACAAATCAACAAGTCACAATCTATACATTATTTATTTGTTTCTTTCTTATTTGAATTTGATTGAAATTCAATAAAAACAATGTTTCAGACTTTATCATGACTATTTATTGCTTATTATTTATTTTAATAAGTTTTCAATTAGATTTATAACCTTATATAAACATGAAATGTGTTATTTATCAACTATCTTTTCATCTATGTCTTTACAATATCACAATAAAATTTCATTTTATTAAAATTTCCTCATTAAATTGCACTTTTATTCAAATAATTGTATGTAACTAATCTCCAATAAAATTTCCTTCTATGACTCGGGATTGTACAAAAAGGTTTAAAATATATTATTTGAAACTAGAATGTCAGTTCAAAGATCTAATATTTTAATATTTTAAATTTAACTTTAAAAATAGAATAAAAAAATATTTTTATTTATACTTATAAATCAAATTATTTTGAAAACAAAGATTGTTACACACAACACATCAAGTGTTACAAACTAATCACAAAGTATGTAATCTAAACCAATCACAAATGTACAATCATCACACTTTCAAGAAAAGATTATAAATCTACACACAAATAAGTTAAGCTACCTTTCACAATACAAAGAGGAATCCAAGAGTTCAAATAAAAAGAATAGAGGAAATCCTAAAGTTTTACTAAAATGAATGAATCACCATAGCTAAGTAAACCCGTGCAGCAAGTTTTTTCTCTCTTAAAATCACTTAAAAGATTTGACTTAACAAGAATGTTAAGTCAAGGGATTTTTTTGCCTAAATATTCAAACCTTGGTTAAGATTAACAAAGTCAACTAATGGAAAAAGCTAATGGATGGGAGAACCACTAAACCACATACATCCAACATGATTTGGCATCCAATGTCACATCAAATGACAAAATTATCTTCAATATATTTGATTTTTTGTATTTTTTCTTAAAGAATTATTTACTTATATTTGTAAAAAAAATAATAAGTTATTATTGATATAAAATATATGTTTTAATTATGTTTTAGCTACTTGAAAAAATTGAATTAAATTTATTGATATGTGTTATTTGTAAAAAATTAAAGCTATTTGGCCATTTTATTCTTATCTTATACATTAAAATTTAAAATACTAATTTTTATAGTTGCATATACCAATTTTAACTGATGATCTTTAGTCATTATTTTATAACCTATTTAAAATTTTAATTAAATAGGTAAGTATTATTATTATAATATATGAATTTACAAAATATTTAGATATAAAAAAATCTATATTTAAATACTATTTTAACCAAATTTTAACTACATATATATATAATATATATATATATATATATATATATATATATATATATAATATTATTTTAAAACTTATTCAAAATTTTGGTATTAAATTTAATCTTTCTATTTTAATATTTTCATAATTTTAGTATTCATTAGAATCAAATTAGTAGATGTATTATTTTATTAAAAAAATTTCACATCTACCTTTACAATATTAAATTAAAATTTTAAAATTAATAACTCTTTCTCAAAAATTAAATATTATTCAATATAACTTTTTACATAAAACATAATATCTAAATATGAAAAAATACAATTTCATAACTATTATGATGTTGTATTGTGTCAATCAAAATATTTTTTGTCTAATTTTTATTTTTCCTATTATAAATTATTATAATATTTAATGATAATTATATAAATTTTGTTAGTTAAAGACTTTGCAAAAGGTAATCTGTTGCATGTGCATACATTCTTTTATTATATATGTATATATATATATATATATAGATATGATTTATTTAAATATAAACAAGTTATGAAAAATAACATATATATATATATATATATATATATACACACACATATATCACTCTTCAATATTGATTTTGCTTAATTCTACATATACTTGTCTAACAACTTTATTTTATGATTATAATAGTGATTATTATTATTAATATAATATGTATGCACATAATGTTTTTATTATGAACACTCTTTGGATTATAAATTCTATTTTGGAGCATATCTTATAATTTTAGGATTAAAAAAATTATTTTTCAAACAAAATTTTGATATTATTTGTAGAAATATACTACATCAATTGAACTCATATAGTTTCTTTGTATGGTTATAATTTAGTAAGAGTCTGTTGCATATAGAATTTCTATTGAGTTTATTATAAATAGTTTTTAGTTAAAATTTATTTCTATCACTTATAATAGTTAATTTAATGTAAATTCACTGAAACAAATACTTCAATTAGAAAACCAATTAAAGGTTATAAGGATTGTTTTATAATTTGATAAGAAAAGTTTAAAGAAAATAGATTATTATTATTATTATTTTAAATTTATCCTAAATTAGATGATGATTAGATAATAGATTAAATACAATAATATTTCTATGATGAATTTTTGATAAACATTCAAAAAGAATTAATACATACCAATCAAACAAATTACAAATTTTAGAATTTAAGCTACAATATGTCATGAAATATTATGATATTGATTGTAATTTTAATAGACTTATAATTTTTTTTATAAAAAAATATTACTAAGTATTAATTTGTAGTTTACTAAATGTATTAAACTTTTTATTGTTAAAAATATTAAAAGTAGCATAAATAAAATATTCATTTAAATTTTGAAAAAGTTTAATACAAAATATTAAATAAGAAGAATGCATTGTGTAATGTATTGGCTAAAGCAAAAAGGATTATATATTTTAGTAGCAAAACAAGTAAAACTTTAAAAACATCCAAATAGAAAATATGATTTAATATTCTTATTGAAATTAAGAGTGGATAGCTAAATTGAGGAATGAATAGCAAAAAGATAAAATAATAGTTGATTTTTTTGTTTTTTTATAATTACTTATAAATTAAACTTTATAAATAAAAACAATAAAAGATAAAAAAATATTGTATGGATTAAGAATATATACCTTATTTTGAATTTTATTAATTTATTAATTTTAATAAATTTCCATTTATTTAAGATAACAACTTAGTGTCTAGAAACTCAATCCTTAAATAATACATATTTTTTAAATATAGAAATAAATAATCAAATGATTTAATTATGCTATAACTCTAAATCCATAAGATTCAAAGGCATTTTTAAACCAACATAATATTATATGTATTTTTTTTACACTTTTGATTTTAATATATGAAAATATATACTTCAAAATATCACACCAAATATTGAATAAGATCAAAATAAGATTGCATGAGTACACGAGAGTTTAATAACACAGTTTCTGCAAGTTGTTGCCATTTCATATGCTGGCAATCCATTACTATAATTTGTGAAAATACCAAATACTAATACTAATACTGTTCAAAGCGAACTTAATCTTCAAAGAGAATGAACATAAGTTGATGGTGTAAACAGTAGTAAACAAATCAAGCTCGGCAATTCAAAATTCAAATTATTGCTTGCACAGAAATGCTGTAGACAGTACATACACATATATATCCGATACACAAACCAACAAACAGATCACCAACAGTGGGTTTCTTATCAAAATACACACTTATAGTGAATAAAGAATATATATGTTACAAACTATTCACACATCTTGCTCCTCCAGCTTGTGCTTCCAAACACAACCCACATGCCCAAGGACTGCTCTTCCTTGTGCAGTTCAGGAGTGTGAGCATGGGGTGTACCCTAATGGCAGTTTAACCATGTCTAGAATATCATTTTAACTTCCAGGATACACTGTGGCAGATGTATCTATCAACTCTGGACAGTACAGGATTATCTACTGCATTCATGAAAGAGAAATAAACTCTCCACCCAGTTCGGCCATCATCCAGGGAATTCAAGACATTAAGCAGGAAAGATAACTTCTAGTCATCAGTCTTCCACGTACGAGACCTACCGAGACATTCCTTCCACCATCAAAAATTTGAAATTTTAAAAATAAAATAAAAACCTGTTCACTCCGCATTAAACTCCTACTTGGAAAGAGCTGCCCCTAATGTTGCGGTGGCCATCATGATATCACACATTGAAAACACGAAGCCGCAACCAACTACAGACAACACTGTCCCTCAGATCGAAGTGAATACTAAGTGAGAATGCTGCATTCTATCATGAGTAATCTCACAAGAGGGCAACAATGTGTTACCGCTTCTCCAATGTAACAAATATTCTGTCGTAGCTTTCACAGGATTCAAAAAACACTTCTCCATGTTACTTTACCATCCTTGCGGAAAAATCTACACTAAAATGCTCAACACCAATGTGTTAGTATGAACCCGGCCTGGAAGTGAAAGGAAACGGCCTTCCATCATCACCTTGTCTGCTTCCCACAGGCATAGCAGTTGAACTGAGAGCTCCACTTGGGTTGCTCCCTCTATCGACTCCACCTCGTACATTGTACTGTTCATGTACTCTCACCCGATTCTCTGCCCACCACTGCTCAGCCTCCCTTTCACTGAATCGTTTTCGACTGCACCATCCGAGCCGAAAGAAAACTTAGAGAGGGCAAAGTACTTTTAGCTCGCATTCACAAGGCTCTACAAACAATAATAAACTACAGCAGTAAAAAGAAAGAACGTTATGCAAAATGAGGTACTGGTAATCGCTGGATATCATTATTATACCAACTTTCAGATATTCTACCTGAATCGCACGCGTTTCAAATCTTTCCCGCCTCCTGGAAGAGCTGTCAATGTGATATACACTCCAGGTTCATCTTGCTCTACCCACTCTGTCTCGGGTTCTCTTACACTCTCAAACGACACAGAAGTTCCTGATGTTATGATTCTTTCTTCATTACGTTGTGCTGTATCAAATCCATTCGTGTCTCCTTCTGCCAATCTAGTCGCCATTCGCCCACTTCCTCCAACTCTGCCTAATGCACTGCCAATTTCGGCCTCCGTGCCAGTATGAGGACTTGAAGTGGAACGAGGACTGTCAAGTCGTTGCGATCCCCGTCCCGACAGAGGACTTGATGCTGAATGTGGGCTGGCCACCCCATTTGCTTCAAAATCAGGAACATTGATTGCTGGGTTTGAACTAAATTGCTGAAAGGGCAGACCCAATCCTTCGCTCCCAACTGCTCCCAGTGCATCAAAATCAGCACTGCCTAGGGCACTATTTGAAACGTCAAGACGGGACAATGACCCCGATCGAGAGTGAAACTGCCTGAAAGTACCTGTAGGCAACTTCTCTGCCATCTCTTTCAACTGCAAAAACGCGAAATTCATTTCAAGCTATGTCAGGATCAGGACTACTAAAAAGTGAGCAACATTTAGGATAGACCTGCATTACTAACATACCATCCTTCAGCATTCACAGATGCTATAATTAGGTGATAGCTTAGCAGCCTTCTTGTAAAGGTTTAGTCAAATTCACCTACTAATTTGTACAACAATATACCTGGGAAGTGAGTGACTTGATAACTTCCTTTGCGGCTCTGGACTTTGCAGCTTCTTCTGTTGCCAAAGAAATAGCATTCTGAAGTTGCTGAGCTGAACGCTGAACCTCCTTCTCATGATTTTGAAGCTGACGGGCTAAACTCTCTACCTGCACGACAGCCAGACTCCTAACCAATTTCAAACACATCTTATAGTCCTCAGGCGCACTGAATCCCATTCATAAAAATAACTCGTCATCACACAGAAGGTACAAGAAACAAAAATATTCAAGAAGAGACTGGACACCTTGGATCAATAACAAGCTGATAATATTTCACTCGTCACTACACTTTCACTGACTATGTAACAAATCAGTGACCTATAGACCTTGAGCAAAATCAATCGTCAGCGCATGTCACACTAAACTCTAAACGGGGAGAGAATATTACCTGCGACCTCAATTGAATATTTTCATCACTCAAGGCATCATTCGTTTTCTTCAAATCCTCCACAACCGTCTTTGGTATCACCAACCCAGACCCCGTTGGCGTTGGTGTCGTCGACCGAGGAGGACTCGACCGCCGAGAAAGGGGCGACACCGCTCTTGATACCGCTCGACCAGCCACCGCCGAGCTCGATACCGCCACCGGACCGTTCAGACCCGTTTGGAATGGGGGTTTCGAGAACCCCGCCGGAACGCTAACCGCACCCCACGTCGCCCCGCTACTCACACCATTCGGAGCAGGGGATATTCGACTTGATGAATTCTCTGGCTTCTTGCCACGCTTGGTTCCCGACTTCCCCTCCCCCACCTTTCCAAACTCCAATGTGATTGGAGGCCTTCCAGTGTTCGGCCCCTGGGGCCGTGGAGCTCGAAACTCACCTTTACCGGACCCATCTTTCACCTCCACTCCTCGATTGCGGTTTGGAACACTCCGTTTTGACAGGGCCGCCACCCCTCCCAACCCACCCTCACCCGCCTTTCGAAGCTTCAGGAAGCATGGGTCGCACACCCGAAACGGCTTCCCTGGATTCGGAGCCAGTGACGCCTTCAGAGCTTTTTTCGAACTGCAAGCGTGACAGTACACCAGCCCACAATTGTAGCAGTTGTGCCGCTTCCGAGTAAATCCAAATGGCTGCTTGCACCCCGAGCACGCATTCTGGTCCGCACCAGACAACCACTTATGCAGGCATATAGCTGCTGTGAATGTCGCACCACACGCTATGCTCTTGACTTGCTTTTCCTTCAGCGCTTCAACAAGGGTCGGCGTGTTCCTATCCTCCAGGTCCCCATGCCCCAACCGCCCATTCGCACCCTTACCCCATGTGTACACCTCCGAATTGTGGGTCAGAACAGCCACGTGATGTGCTCCGCAGGCAATGTCTTCCACATATGCCTCCACCAGCTTCCCCTCTACCAGCCCTGGCAGCTTTCCATCCGCCTGTGGATCCCCCAACTGCCCGTACGTCGAACTCCCCATGGTGAACACCCCTCCCTTCGTCGTCAGTGCCACTGTCAAGCTATACCCACAGGCCACCTGCCGGAAATTGTGATCCACCAGCGCAGCAACGCACGTAGGCACCAGCCGCTGTTCCTTGTCGCCATGGCCCAATCGCCCCTTTTCACCGTCCCCCCAAGTGAATAACTTCCCAGACGAACAGCTACCCGCACTCGAACTTCCCACCATTACCTCCACCACTGCTGCAGTATGCCACACTCCGCAAGCCGCCCTCACCGTCCTCAAACCCTTCAAGGACTCCACCTCTCGGGGAGAATATGCGCTCTTTCTGTCGTTGTGCCCTAGCACCCCGAATGTGCCGTCCCCGAACGTGAAAAGCAGCCCTGTCGTCGTCACCAGCGCGGTGTGCCAAGGACCACATGCGATCGATGCCACTCGCAGCCCCTCGAGTGGCCCGTTCACTCGCTTCGGTATCCAGTGGCTGATGTCGTTGCCATGACCCAGCAGTCCAAGGTTGTGTGTGCCGTCGCCCCAACTGTACAAATCGCCGGATAGCGTCACTGCACAAGCATGGTACTCCCCGCATGCCACAACCTCCGTTGTCGATGATGCTAAAGCTTCCACCAACTGAGGGTGTGACACATCACAATCCACTCCGTGTCCAAGCCGCCCGCCCGACTCTTCCCCCCAAGTGAACACCTCCCCTTGCTTTGTCACTAGTGCCGCATGCTTTCCTCCACATGCAATGAGCTGCACGTCCAAAACCAAGGCAGATTCCAAAGGTTTGGGAAGAAGAGCATCCAGATTGATAGCTCCACCGCTGCCGATCCTGTGTATACCACCTCCTAAAATACCATCGCCTACTCCTTCCCCCCACATATACACATCGCCGAGCGGTTCAGCATAGTGTAAGCCGTCCTCGCCATGTTGGGAGCTCTGACTCGAAGAACTCACAGCACTTGACATGCTGATCCTGTAATTGTCAGATTGGCCGGCACCAGCCAGCCTAAGATGTGCACTCACACTGTCGGAACCCATAGACGAACTCCCAGAATGCATCGATCCTCCTACAGAACCTGCGTCAAAGTTGTTCTTTGAATCTATTGTAGATGTTGGACCTCCAAGGTATCCTTTCTCAGATTGCAAAGGGCTGCCTATGAAACTGGAAGTTTTGAAGAAATCCCCGCTTTCCTGGCAAAATAAATTCACAGATTTATGAACAAATAATTTCAGTTATCAATACACACAATATCATCTCTGGAAAAGCTTCATAACCAGAAATCGCAGCAACAGCGGAGTTACGTCAATCAAGCTGTCAAATGCTCAGCCTTTGAACTTAGTCAAAAGTAACAATTGAAGTGTTTATCAAGAATTATCCACAACTCGACTTAAAATAAATAGGAAAAGCCCACATAACTTCACCCACCAATCATCGCCATCAGGCGTAACAACTAAAAGAACTTCACATGAAGCTTCCATGGGATGATTAGATGTAATACGTCACAACTAGTTTGGGAAAACCATGAACACGCACCTGCTGCAGATTGTCAGTGCTTCCAAATGGTGATGTCAAAGGTGAACTATTCCTCGTGAGTGCTGGACTGACGATATCCACAGTTCGTTCATGCCTTACATTATTGAACTTAGACTTTCGCAACTGAGCACCAGCAACAGAGGCCTTCAGACCTACAAACCACACTTCGGCCTCGTCTTTATCTTTGCATATCTGCAAACAAACACATGCCGGCCACACACGCTTACTCCCTCATCCACTCTTCTTAGATGGTTACTTCGTCCAAAGAAAGTGGTTCACACAAATTACTTCGGTTTTCAATGAATACCCATAAACAGCTCCACCACCCAGTCAACTCCAATATTAAACACAGCAATACCACTACCTCCACCACTTTTGCAAGTCCTCCGCCAGTATTGAGCGTTACATTTTTTTTATGACAACAACAGGATACTCACCACATCTAGAGATCTTTCCTCATTCGAATGTAACAGCGAAAGCGACTGACACTCCTTTTCTGGTCTTGGATAACGTAGGAAAACTGGCTGTTGCGACATCCACACATCTGTCAGTGCTTCGCACTTGGAGATAAACAAAAGGTCTGGAATAAAATCATTTTAATTTTACAACCCTAAAGAAAGATTCCTCCAGTTAGAACACCGCTGATGAGAAAATCGCGAGTGGGAACTTCCTGTTCATAGTACAACACACAATGCACCCGGAACAGTACCTACATATTATTTATTATCGATTTAGTGAGGCACTTACTGTACGCTGGCCAGGTATAATTCTAGATACCGTACTTAACCATAGTCTCTTTTCCTCTCCCCCTGAATACCATATCAATGCATTCTCATCCTGCGCACAGTTACCGTGAATTAGAAATTCGCATACTCAAAAGCGTCGACGGTGGTTCGAAATTTCATGAGGAAGCGCTCGCAAGCACCCTAAGCTTCGCATCAAGCATGATGTGAACAGCCTAACAGAAAATGCATGAACCCGATAGAGATTAACAGCGGGCATCAAAACATAATCCGCGGGTCTTGATTGTCCGTATCTCAAACCCAGAGATGGATTTTACACAAATAAAATGGAACTAAAGTGTCTTTATAGAATTGAGGTGTGTAAAAGCTGAGAACACCAAATAAAATTCGGCGCAGGTGCGGCATGGCCACGACAGGCATGTTGCACCAATACTTACGCTAGACAGTTTGAACGGACAAAATTTTGGCTTCCCGCGCCGACCGTACTTCAAGAGCTGAGCACCTTTCTTCAGTGCAGTGATGGCCTTCACCCAATAAAATGTAGCAGATCAGATCGCAAGACAACCATTTGAGTACGATTATCGAATAAGAGGAAAAATCTGGTAGAAGTAGACGAAGCAAGTCAAAGATTCATCCTTTTGTTTGTAATTCATATGCTAAGATCCTGAACGATCTCTTCAGAAGCTAGCACTTCATCCAAGCATGACTACATCAACATTTCAGCATCGCTTCAGGACCACCTTTCCGCATTTCTAGCATGAGTTATAATCATGATGGAACAATCGAATTCTTTTCTTGTGAGCCATCCATCTACGATGGTTTAGACACACTAATTTCACATAATTTTCATGTATACGATAGGACGAAAAAACATCACGCCACAATTATGGACAACACGTAATGAAGAGATAAAATCATGTTCATTAACATCTTTTAAGCATTGAGGACCACAACAACCATAAATGCGGTAATTCGATTGAGCTGACGTATAAATAAACACTACCACTTATGACACAATTAGAACCTCAAAACTAGGACAAGAATATACAGACATTTAGTACAAATTCGCCTCAGCTCGAGACGATCCAATTGCATCTTCTCTCACCATATTCAAGCCAGTTCACACTGACTGTCTTCACTCGACAAGAAGGTTAAATAAGATAAGTCATATAATTGCAGTTATAGAAATCAGGGCAATGCTTCTTGCGAAAGTAGTGAATCAAGAATAACAATGATCATTCGAACAGGTTCGGTAGAACACCTAAGAAGAAAAAAAATATCGAGGAACCCTAGTTTCTGCACTCAGAATGACAGCCATCATTCAACTAGACGTTGACAAGGGCTTCTCCAAGGATCCCTACCTGTTCAATATCGCGCTCCAGAACTCCATGACGTGATTGATCTGCCATTCGCTGTCCAGCCTGGACTGAGAGCCTCGCTTTCCTAACTGACATTACAACTGCTAAACTTCGCAGCTTTCACAACCCAGCGCCTCGGAGAAACGAAAACGGTGCTGGTACATTTGTGATGCCCACATTGATCATCAATATCTTTGGCCATCACTTATCGCCAGTCTACAGGAAACTTGTTCTGGTCCTTGAAGATACAAAAATTCGTATGTAGTGTTCCAGAAGCCCACGTGAATCAAAAACAATTACAACGAACCCTGTGAGTCCTTAGATAATAGACTCATTCCAGTAGCACGGTGGTCTTCTACAGCTACAACAAGCTCACCGCACTCAAAGCACAGATCCCCTGAATCCGAACACAGGAACAGTAACTCAGCATCGGCAACGAAAATCACTACATTAAAGAGGATCCTAAGCAAGGAAGGAACAAACGGGCACAATAAAGTACTCGTTGAGATGTCACCTAAGAAATATAAAACAAAGTAATAAAACCATCAAAATTTCGCTCCAGGCGTAATCCTCCCACAATCTGCTGTGCTCCTACACGGCTAAACCGAGAAACTCATCTCGCCCATCAAAATCCGATGCGCACAATAGCTGAACCTACGCCGAAATCACGCTACAGATGTTTCCACATTCCCTCATCGCGCCTCTCATCTGCACACCATCACACACACCAAAAAAAAAAAAAAAAAAAAAAAAAAAAAAAACCCTAACACTCACCTCTCATTTGCCGCACTTCCTACACATCCACCATTCCTCCCGCTGTTCCAATTCCTCTCTCACATCCTACTCCATCGCGCGCAAAAAAAATTGTTCCATAAATTCTAGTTCCGATGCCGTAGCACCTAGCAACCTTTCAATCTCATCCGCCACCCGCTCCCTCCCGCCTGCTCATCTAACATCGCACAACCATTCTCGGATGATCACAAATCCATGACAACTTTCCTCGCCTCTTCCAAGCACACACTTCCTCTACTAAGAACCCGCAGAACTCCACTGACCCGTCCCAATCACTCCCAACCCCGAATCCCCACTACAACCCCGTTGCCTGCAACGCCACTGCACCCTAGGAACCGAGAGAGGGTGGGCAAGCGTATTGGCGTGAGGGGAGGGGAGGGTTGGAGCGAGACCAGGACGACGACGAGGAGGCAGAATGACGACGGAGATGCACTGCACACGATGAGATGGTGACGATGCACGGAAATTAGATGACGTTTGGTTAACGACGTTGCCCCCTCGTTCTTCATCCGTCAGGCCGACGTACTCCGGTTGGCATTGTGGAGTATAAAACACGGGTTTTCTTCGATCCGCGAGCTAAACCTGCCGGAAAGGTCGCTCCTTGCCCACCCTCCAAATTATTTCCACGCTTTCTCGCTCCTCGCTGCCCCGCTCTTGTGCTTGCTGGTGCTTTATAGTTCCGTCTTTCGATCCTCCGGGTCTTTATCCTTCCTTCTTTCAAGCCTCCCCCTCTTTACCTTCTCTTCTTTCGAGCTTCTCTCTCTCTTTACCTTCTTTCTCTTCTTTCGAGCTTCTCTCTCTCTTTACCTTCTTTCTCTTCTTTCGAGCTTCTCTCTCTCTGTACCACCTCTTCTTTCGAACTTCAGTTTCCTTTACCGGGGTTGCGGTTCTTCTCCATTTTCTTCTCCATTCTTTATCGGTTTGCATGGTCATAATAATGAATGTGTTTTATTTTCGAGTATAAACATAATTTGACCATATTTGTATTTAAAAATTTAAAAATTGTCATTACCTGTATTTTATATCAAACCTCTGCTTCCAGGTTATAACAATAAAAGTATACTGTTATTCACTTTTGATGTATACTTTTACACAAAGTGTAGCTGACTTCAGTGTGTGATGTTAAACTATTTATTTTGGAAAATTTTAGTTTTTGAGAAGAAAAATATTTAAATGCCAAACTTACTTCATTTAAGTTATCAAATAAAATTATAACATGCATTTTTTTATCACAAATGGTAGGTTGAGTTGGTTTTTATTGTGTGATTATATATAACTCCTATTAGACATTTTGTGTTTGATATGTAGATAATTGACAATATATTACTACCAATTGACAACTTATAGCCACTATAAATTGGTAGTACTATCATATAGTTATAAATGACCTAACAAGATTATTATCCCTCAAGCCAAATAAACCTTTGTATTAAGCTATTGTTAGAACGTTAATACTAAAAAATATAATTAGATTGCAAACTTATGTTATAAAAGTCTAAAACTAAAGTTCACTTCATGTGATTAGTTCTCTTGAATCTTCTTTGATTAGGTAGTAAGCTTAATTGTATTTGTATTATTAAGCTTCTATCTTAGCAATATATTTCTTCATGTTTTTTATATGGTATAATAGCTTAGTACTTTAGATTGTCCTTTATATGTTGAATAAATTATGCGAGTTTATTTATACAATATGTTAAGGACAAGAACTTGATAAAAACAAATAAACAAGTGAGACTTCTCTCAAAGAAAAATGACAAAATAGAAATAGCTCAATATGTATATTAAGAAAATTGGAATGACTATTGTCAAAAGACAAGAAAACTAGGGACCCTTGAAACTAGACTGAAAGCAAAAAAAGAGTTGACAAGAGTGAAGAGGGCTTCACTCTTGTCTCTTTATATACTATCTAACAAGGAGCTATATGGCAATGTTCTATAGGATCTACAATATGTGTTGACTTTATAGGACACATGCCTTGACTTATAAGGCAAGTTTTTCTACGTGTGGACCACATAGTAAGCTTGGTCTTCAAGCTAACAACATTTGTGGTACATGGCCAACTTGTTGCCCACGTTTTTAATCCAAAAAGTCAATTAAAGATACCTATAAAGTCAAAGTAGTGTCTTTGAAGCTTGTAAATAACTTCTATAGAAAATATTATAGAATTAACTTACTTTTTCCTATTTTTACTTACTTCTACTTATTTATATATGTAAATATTAGTTTACATGTATATGTCAGTGACATTACCCCCCCTTCTAGGGATGAGTTCCATGAAGAGCGGTCATCATATGTTGAAAAAATCTATGATGTGACAAATTGTATTTGCCACATAGTCTGATCTTTGTTCTCTTCGAAGATGATTGATAGGGCCTCTCAACCATTGATAGTATCTAAGCCTTTGACAGTCCAACTTATCACAAGGACGAGTGGTCTTGTTATTACGACGAAGTAACCATACCTTGTCACCCATGTGGAATGGTGGTTGTTCCTTTCGATAGACATCCGCATTGATCTTTTGTTATTCTTGAGTTTCTTTTAACTGCGCCTTCATCGTTGCATGTAGCTCTCACAAATGAATTGCCAAATCTTTTGCTGCAAGATTATCAACTTTTGAAAAGTCAAAAATATCAAGTCGTGGATGATAACCATAATTGATAAAGAAAGGTGTTTGTTTTGTAGAAGAATGTATCGTATTATTGTAAGCAAACTCTGCCAATGACAAAAGAGTTGTCCAATCATCGTGTTGGTAGTTAATGGTACATCATAAATACTACTCCAAAACTTGATTAACACGCTCCGTTTGTCCATTAGTTTGAGGATGGAGTGTCGAAGATAGTTTTATATCCACTTTTAGAATCTTGAAAGAATCTACCAAAATCTTAATACAAACTGAGTTCCTCTATTTGATATAATGTCCTTGGATAATCGATGATAGTAATAGATATTGACAAGAAAGAGCTTAGTTGTTTCTTCACATGTGATGGATTTTGTACATGGTACAAAATGTGCCATCTTGGTAAAACCATCTACTACCACAAATATAGAGTCATGAGAACCTGAGATTGGAAGATCTAAAATAAAATCCATAGAAATAGAAGACCATGGTTGTTTTGGAATGGGTAATGGCTGTAGAGTCTATAAGGTCGATGACAAGGAGTTTTTAATCTTGAACAAATATCACAAGATTGTACAAAATCTTTGACTGCCTTCTACATTTGAGGCCACCAAAAATCCCTAGATATTAGTTCCAAAGTTTTATTGTACCCAAAATCTCCTACTGCTGGAAAGTCATGACAAGCTTAAAGAACACATAATCAAGCTTCACCTTCTGGAACATATAGGCGTACCTCAAAATATAGTAGATTATTCTTGAATTTAAACTCGAAAGTATCATGAGACTTTGAAGGATTTTCTTTAATATCACAAATAAGAGGATCAAAAGACATACTTAACTAAACTTGATTAATGAAAGTTGAATCAATAGTTAGTGTTGATTTCATTACTCGAGGATGAAGATGCTCTAGCTTCAAGAGAATTGTCTGTTGTTGATCAAAAGCATCATCTTCTTCCTTTAGTGCAAGGTAAGATCGTCTAGAAAGTGCATCTGACAAACCTTGTTATTTTCTTAGTTAATAAATGATCTTGAATTCAAATCTTAACAAAGACATACTCCAATGGGCTTGGCGACGATTCAAAATATATGCTAACATAAAATATTCAAGGTTCTTATGATCCATATACACGGTGACTAGGGTAGAAGCACCTTCTACATAATGGTGCCATTCTTGAAACAAATCCACGATTGCAAGAAATTCTTTATCATGGATCTCATAGTTGATCTCGGTTGCTGAAAAAAATTTAGAATAAAAAGCTATTGGATGAAGTTTATTATCTGTTCTCATTTGTGACAATACGACATCCAAAGCAAATTTTAATGCATCTATTTTCATAAAAATAGCTTAGAAAAATCAACACAATACAAGATTGGTGTGGAAACAAAGGTTGTCTTCAAAGCTTCAAATGCTACTTCTGCTTCTTGATTCCATTGAAATTTATCTTTACAAGTCAAATGTGTAAGTGGAGCTACAACTTGAGATAAGTCTTTCATGAAGATTTGATAGTAGTTGGCAAATCCCAAAAAGCATTGGACATCTCTTACCGTTTTTGTGATCTTTCAATCTATAATAGCTTGAATTTTCTTAGGATCCATCAAATGTCCATCATTTGAAATGATGTATCCTAAAAAGTAGACTTCAGTAGTATGAAATATACACTTTTATATCTTAGCATAGAATCCCATATGTCTTAGTTTTTGTAACACATGACAAATATGAACTTCATGTTCTTCTAAGTTCTTAGAATAAATTAAGATATTGTCTAGGTAACAGACAATAGAATCATCTAAAAACTCTCAAAAGTCATCATTCATTAGATGTTGGATATTACTCGTGCATTTGTAAGTCCAAAAGATATGATGGTGCATTTGTAAGTCCAAAAGACATGATGGTGGATTTGAAATGTCCATACCTTATTCGAAACACATTCTTCCATTCATCTCCTTTTTTGATGCGTACCAGATTGTATGCTCCTTGTAGATCTATTTTTGTATAAATCTTAGCTTGATTCAATTGATCAAAGAGTCCAGATATCAAAGGTAGCGGATACTTGTTCTTGATGGTGATTTTGTTGAGTCCTTGATAATCGACACACATCTGTAATGATCCATCTTTTTTCTTTACAAATTAAATTCGAGCTCTTGTTAGAGATTTTGGAATGGCATATGAAGTTCTTGGCCAAATTTTCTTCAATATACTCCTTGAGTTCTGCTAACTCATTTTGTGATAAATTGTAGATTGATCCAAATGGCCGTTGTGCTCTTTCTTGAAGGTCAATTGAGCAGTCATAGGAATAATGTTTTAGAAGAGAATCCACATTCTTCTTCTCAAATACATCTTGAAAATCTTGATATTGGCTTAGAATGTGACTTGAAATCTTTCCACTAGTAGAAATAGGTGTGGCATAAATGGCACAAGGTGATCCTTCTTTTGCAACATGCAAGAAAGCTCTTGCATCTAAAAATACAAGTTTAATTTTACTAGACTTATGACTTCCTACTTGATTAACTATGCTCTTAATTATACTTTCAAAAAAGCCAAGACTACGAGAAGTCCAATGTATTTTAGGATTATATTTTTTTAGCCATGATAAACCTAAAATGACTGGATTAGAAGGAGATCTAATGATATTAAATATTAGAAAGCTACTATGACTATTAGTTGCTACTTCTATAGGAAGGATTTCATGAATAACATCTTCTGAAGACAACAGACGACTATCTATGACTTCTACATGAACAGATTTAGTTTTCTTCAGTAAAAATATGCTATGTATTTTCAGCAAATTCTTCATCTAA